GTTAATTTCTCCAATGAAAGTTAATTTTACATATTTGGAACCAAGGGTAACAAACTTGTGTGGAGAAAATCATGTACAGCCTACGTTAAACAAAACTTAATTTATGGTTTGGGGGTATATAGCAAGTAATGTTTTCGGTAAACTTAAATTAATATAAGATACAATGGATAAATATGGGTATCTAATTATATTAAAAACAAATTTGAAAGAAAATGACAGAATGTTAGGGCTTTAATGTTAGGGCAACTTCAAAAACTATCAAAATCACCAGACCTTAATCCCATAGAACATCTGTAGGTTTATTTGGAAAATAAGTGTTGGATATACAGTTATTAAATAGAATTATATTTTGTTTGTGTGATTTTACCCCAATAACAAAATACATAGATCACGTAAATTCGTTTTTAAAGAAATCACTAATTGCAATAGGCAGACAGGCACCATGTCTCATATGCATTGTTGTTATTGTCTGTTCTTAGAATTTGCTTGTTTTAGAAAGAGCAGACAATCAAATTGAAGTGCATAATATTTTTGGTGTTTAATATCATTTTGCAGTTTTAAGTGACGGCTTATAATAAAATAAAGTATCGTAAAAATAAAAGTGTTTTATTTAATCAAAGAGGCTAAATTATTCTAACAATAAGATTCGCAAGCACACGATTTCCAGCAAGGATATGTTCAGAAACGTCATCAAGGAAGAATAGAAAAAAAGCGCACAGGATACTGCAAAGTTGGTTAAGTCCATGCAAAGACGCCTAAAAGAGGTTATTAAACGGAGAGGTTATCACATAGACTCTCTCTATTAAATTTAAAATTTCTGTTAGTTTTAATTTAAATATTAAGAAGTGACTGCAGACTTTTTCTGCTTCAAAAATTGTTGCCTTTGCATATAATTGTGTTAAATTTTTTTTAAAGAATAACTGTTAATTTTTTTGTAGTTTGAAATTAATTGTTGTTTCTTTGGTTCAAATAAATCAGAAAACAAAAATTAATTTCAGTAAAAATTAAATAAGTTATGCAAAATTTAAGAAAAATTTTGTGGGTATCCGTAGACTTTTTTTGCTATGTGTATGTATATCCAGGACGCTACAACATATGGAGTTCACCTTCAGTTTCGAGAAAATTAATAATTTACTTGAGTTTGAGAGCGTTTCTGTTTTATTTCCATATTAATGTCTATGCAATTGACCAAGTTGTAGCTGGTGCATTTTTAATAGATACTTGCCTGTCAATATATATATTCATTTTTGTATTACATTCTATGTATCCACTTTGGAACTCTAGTGATTTTCAGCAATAATCGTTTTAACCTGGGTAATACTGTAATAGTTTAGAAGCGTTTATGACAGTGTAATACTTAGTTCCGGGCAAAACAATCTTTTGTCTATTTTTCAAAAAAATAATGAAAAATTATTTATTGTATGTTTACTTGGATAATTTTAATTTTCAATAAGCCCGAGATATGTGAAATATATCAATCCATATATGCAATAACTCTGATACTTGCTGAGAACGCTTCAATTTCAAAACAAAGTTAGATCATTCAAATATTAAGTATAAGCAAAAAATATACTTATTTATTTGGATATGGGATGTCAATCTATAAGGTAATGATGGGTGTTTATTGCTGTAAGGACTGAGGTTTCTTCTCTGTTGTTTGGTTTATTGTTTTAAATACATATAAGTCAAAAAAATACTATAATTAACCGTTGATAGTTTTGATAAGTGTTTCTGAAAACTTCAGTAGTTTGCGAACAATTTTTCTCGTAACTCTACTTATACCTCTACTTATATAATGGATGGAATAATTTTTATTGCGGAGTTTTCTACAAGATGATTAGTCTGTGTGCATTGGTCGCATCTATAATATATAAGGTAAAAAGTGGTACGACATAAGGAACTAAATTTAACTAATTTTAAACACCTCAACCTACTTACCGACTAACATACGTAAATTAAAAGATTAATAGACTTAAAGTTTTGTGTGCCCCTTCAAATCCCGTAAAATAAATTGTTTTACTTTGAAATCATTAGAAAACAATCTGAAATCCCAAAGCGTTAAATTTCTTTTGTTGTGTTTTTTTTATATTAAAATATAGAGCATGTAGTACTCGTAATAGTCTTTCCTGTGGAGATCAATGACTTTAAAGATAATCAAATTACAGGGTGTTTATATTCTTCTCTGCTTTATTTATGTTATCGGAAAGATGTAACAAAAACAAGTAGCATGACTCGAAATAACGGATGAATTTCTGGGTTTGTTTCGATTTTATAACATGTAACATTGCAAAAAGCTGAGCTATCAAGCAATAAATAAATTAGAACTTACCTGTGACTGCACTTTTACAAGTGCAGTGACTGAATGCATTTCACCCTGTACAGATTGTCGAAGCGGTTGTTTTACTTTTATTCCCTTTTAGTTTTAATTTTGTTGTTTTTGTTTTCGTTTTTTGAGTTAAGTAACGTAAAAAATCTACAACTAAAAATATCAAAGGCCTAAATCTCATAAGTTCTAATTTACGCATTAAGCAATTCAGTAAGCAGTCTGTTTTGTTTGTGTTAGGTCAGAAATTTGTGTATATGTAGGGTTTTTGCATTTATTTGGTGAATGTAGAGTTGCCAACTTAGTATTTTTATGCTTCGTATAATAAGGATAAAATCATTGTTATAGTAGGTCTGTTCCACGAGCTACTCGTAGTAACTTTGAGTAACACTGTGTATACACAAATGCGTTCCACCAGCAAATTTTCGTGTATTTTCGTGTAAATTTTACCTGTATTTTACTTGAGTTTTACTACGAGTAGCTCGTGGAACAGACCTAGTATTGTTTAAGATATAATAATGTACACAGTTATTATGATAAAATAATAAAATGAAAAGGAACTGAAGATTTAAAAAAAAGGCGCTAGTGAATACGATTCACCAAATCAAATCACCAAAACCTATATAATCTATTTAACCTATTTAAGTCAAATCTACTCAATTTTATGGAACAAAATACAAAATCGTACATAAATTGCTTATGTTGAAAAAAAAGGAGAATACTGCTTAAGTTTTTACTACATTTTAAAACTAAGACAATAAATGAGTATTTATATATATTCTTGATCAGCTCGATGACAAAAAGCTATTCAACGTATGTTAATCGATGTACATACCTATATCATATATAAAAAGCTATTTGAACTACAATTTCGTTAATTGCGTTGTATACTGAATATACTTTCTACACGCTGTTGTTGAATGATGTAAAATAAAATATATATCTAATTCAATCCATTTAGACAGGTCTGTCATCGATTTCATGTCTTTCAAATCTTGTAATAAATAAACAAAATTTTAATATTAGATAATTTAATAGCTATATAAACTAAACTGATTCTTTTTTTATTTTATTTACAAAATATTTTTATTGTTTTATTACTCTTATTATTTATATTATACGTGAACATACATTATATGTCCACGTTATATGTTATATGATAAATGAGTTTAATTTTGTTTGAGATTATTTTAATTTAGATACAACTGCCGTAAAAAGCAATAACTTAGTAAATAAATGTTTTTATAGTGTTTAGTGTTTTATAGTTTATAGGGCGTTTTAACAGTATTTCTCAAAATACGGTGACATTAGTGCATACTATTAAAGTAGAACCGTTTTGAAGAAAATGGCATAAACACTAATATAAAATTAATACTTTTTGAAAAAATTAAAACTTTTGTTTCTTTGTAACCAAATTTTGAATAGGTATTTTATAACAGTCTCGGATTCTCTTTTTTGAAAAATAAATCCATATATATCACAAAATTGTTTACTATTCGTGTATAACTGCTCTCTTCTTACTCCCGACTACTTTTTAATCTACTTTTTTGATATTTGTTTTCTAAAATCAATTTAAAGAAAATCTTCAGTTCAATGTATAAGGTCGGTTAAAATGAATTCAATTAATAAGTTAGTATCATGCCGAATGCATATTGTGTGGTTATTTATCAATGCTGGGGGTCTATTCCGCAACTGTGAAAAAAATTTTGTGTGAAAACTCAGTTATTGAAAATAAATAAGTAAACAAAATAGCATACATTTAACTAATTATAATGCAGTTTTATAATAATTATTAACATATATGAAAAATTTTTATTTTATATTTTTATAATTTTTTTACGGTTCTTATAACATAAGTTTCAAAAATTTTTATCGTTAAAAATTCGATATTGATATTTGAAAAGAAACTTTTGCTCCTTTTGCTTACTTTTTACTTTTTTCCATTTTTAAAACCCATAAAAAAGTAATAATACAAGTTTATATTAAATTTTGCAAAAAATTTCCTATGTTTTTTTTAAAACTCACCGTCAAATATACGGTGAATAAAATTTGAGAAAAGTGTTCGAATTTTGACAGATAAACTCACTATTCACAGTCGAGGAATAGCAGGAATAGCAGGAATAGCAAAATCAAAATTTAAGCAAATTTTTGTGTACACTTCAGATTGCACAGTTACGGAATAGACCTCCTGATCAGCAAGTAACGTTTAAGATTCCCTCAAAAACTTCACAAATTTGAAATGTTAAAACTTCAACAATAGGTGTATCGACGAGTTTGAACTGCAATCAATGGTTCTGATTGTTGCGACCATTTTCTTCATACATATGTATAAACTCTTTAGTTCAGTTAATTAATTGTAATCCCACCAAGAGCTTATTAAAAGCTGTAATCATTGATTTAAAATTGTTTATTAATTTATTAGGGCTCTTGAATTCATTTAATTCTTTTGTTTTTTTTGTAAACTGTTGGCAACCAATGTCACAGTTTACAACATATTCTACGTAAGAAAAAAAAGTGATAAGTAAACATGCCGGGCGGTAATCGACACTTTCAAATGTAAATTTTCTTTCAATGCCTATAGACAAGTAAGCGTAGGCGTATGTATTTATCTGTTCCTATTGCACTATTTGAAGTTTATGTTTGACTATAATAAAATATATTTTTTATTTATTTTCAGATTATATAAGATGATTCTATTCCTGATATGTGGAATACTTCAATTGGTTGCGGGCCAACAATTTCAGCAGCAACAGCAACAACAAAATCAGTTTCAAATACCTCAAACTTATGATGACTACAATAACCAACGTTACAATGACCCATTCAATACGAATCCAAATTTAAATCAAAATCTTAATACGAACACGCGATTCCGTACCGATAATAATTTTAACGATATAAATCAGGATAATACTGACTTCGCTAAAAGGCCTTCAGGCTCCTACGGTGCTGAAGAGGAATTAAACTTTAACCGTGGAAAATCATCATATAATGTTAAAGCCAGCTTTTTGGAAACTTTTCATTCCAAGGAACCGACATACTTTATAGTTGCTTCACGGATGGTACGGCCTGGTCTTATATATCAAGTTGCTGTCTCCATATTACAAGCTCAGTATCCAATAACTGTGCATGCAGGAATTTCTTGTGATGGTGTCCAAATAAGCGGAGATTCGAAAGATGTAAAGGAAGGAGTTCCAGAAACTCTGTTGATGCGTATACCACCTACCAGTGTCGGTGGTGAATATAAATTACGTGTTGAGGGTTTCTATCAAAATGTACTTGGTGGATTAGCATTTTTAAATGAAACCAGTTTAGATTTTTCACAGCGTTCAATGACAATTTTTATTCAGACCGATAAACCACTCTATATGCAAGGAGAAACTGTACGATTTCGCACTATTCCAATAACAACTGAACTAAAAGGTTTCGATAACGCCGTCGATGTTTATATGTTAGATCCAAATAGGCATATTGTTAGACGTTGGATTTCTAGGTAAGTTTTAATACTTTTAATAATAAAGCTTATATTATTTCACTTTTAGACCGAAGATTTTAAAGAGAGGTCATTCTCTTTTATCCATGTGATTTTTAAAGTGTTTAGAATATCAACACTTCATCAATTTTAACTCTAATGAAACAATTATTAATCTATTGGTATTAATTAATTCTAATGGCACATAATTAATATGAACATTTAATCATAACATATATTGTGAATCAATTAAAATATTCAAATCTCTACTATTTTTACTAAAGGACTAGAGGAAGGCGATTTTTTAATGTCCAATGGGTAATAAAGACTCGGCCTTGATACCTCTACGGTTAAAAGAGGCCTTCGTCGTTCAGCAAGAAATCTCCTAGGTTAATTGAACACAGAATATAACCACATGCTAAAGATTCGTTTGGCATGTATAAATACTATTGTATATGTTGAAATATCATCTCTCTGTATAGTACAAGGTAAGAGTAATAGGCATGTTACTATTACACATCAGCAATTCCCAGGAAAAGAAATCGTAAAGAAAAAGTCTTTATGAAATCGTCAATATACTAAAAATACTAACTAATTTGATAAAAGACTTTTCCGTACAAGATATTTTCTAAATTGCTCTTCTTCTGTTCCTTTGGAACACTTTGTCTTTGCCATTTCTTTGTTATTTTTGTTAAATGCAAACTTAATTCAATTAGTTATTTTATTCTTTAGATACATTAGTTAGCTGAGATAAAAAACTGTCGATTACCTACGTTTCCTCACATTTCTTCAAGTTACGAAAAATATGAGAACTGGTTAAAAACATTTGTTTTGGTGAACTATGTATTTTAATATATAAATTATGTTAAAATATTTTTTTCTTAAGAAACTAATGGTTATTATTATATTTCTATTTTTTTAAGACAATCAAATTTAGGTTCCGTGTCACTAGAATACAAACTTTCGGATCAGCCTACATTTGGAGAGTGGACGATTCGTGTAATAGCACAAGGACAGCAAGAAGAGAGTCACTTTGATGTCGAAGAATTTTATCAGACACGTTTCGAGGTAAATGTAACGATGCCAGCTTATTTTTTCACAACCGATCGTTACATTCATGGTCGTATAATGGCGAATTTCACAAGTGGTCACCCAGTACGTGGAAACTTAACACTTAAAGCCACAATTCGACCAATTGGTTATTTTAGTAATCAGGCTTTGAATGAAAAGTATCGCTTGGGTCGGTCGCCATCTGAGGAAGCACGTCTGTACCAGGAACAATTTTATCGCAACCAATATAATTCGAATCCACAACTGGTAGAAATTCCTGAAATTCGTCCACAAGATACTCTTTATCGTAATCACTATGTAGTGGAGCGAAATTATCAATTCGATGAGGAATGGCCTTTTTGGGTGAAAAAACCAGATATTCCAGAAACTTATGATACTGCGACTGGTACTTATCAAAAAACTTTACCATTTTTACGTTACTTCAATGGTACTTTTAATTTTAAATGGCCTATAAATGAGTTAGAAGTGCTGGTACCAAGTTTGGCAGGTAAATTTATTTTCAATTTATCTATTTGTTATATTAATATATATATTTTTTTTTTTTTTTTTTGAAAAACATTTAACTCAAATTTTATTTTATCTAAACAGGCATGGAAGTACTTATAACAGCCACAGTTGGAGAAAAATTCTATGATGAAGTTATTTCTGGGTACGCAATTGCACATGTCTATAATTCAAGTATACGCGTTGCTTTTATGGGTGAAACGCCACAAGTTTTTAAACCTGCTATGCCATTTACTGTGTATCTTGTTATGGAATATCATGATGGTTCGCCAATCGATTTAGAACTACTTCAACTTGGTATTATGGAAGTAACAGGTTTTGTTGAAAGTAAAAACGGTGGACGCCGTGATTGGCCCGCTCAACGTTTGAAAATGTCCCAAGAAAGTCCAGGTATCTGGGAAGTTAAAATTGATTTGCGTAATGACTTACAATTGGATGAGCGTCCACAGTCACGAGATTTCTTAAATGGTGTCACACAGATGCGTTTACAAGCTAACTACATTGATCCACGTAATGAGCGTGCTCAAACCGAACTATTGTTGGTTTCACATTATTCACCTCGCAATCAACATATTAAAGTATCTACCAGTACGGAGTCTCCTACCGTGGGCGAATACATCATATTCCATATACGTACTAACTTTTATTTGGAGGATTTCAATTATTTGATTATGTCAAAAGGTGTTATTTTGATGAATGACCGTGAACCAATAGTCGAAGGCATAAGAACAATAGCTGTTGTATTAAGCGCAGAAATGGCACCAGTTGCTACAATTGTTGTTTGGAAAATTACACAACAAGGTCAAATTGTTGCAGATTCTTTAACTTTCCCAGTAAATGGTATATCGCGCAACAACTTTACAGTGTATATTAATAACCGAAAGGCCCGTACGGGTGAAAAAGTAGAAGTGGCAATTTTTGGTGAACCGGGCTCATATGTTGGACTTTCAGGAATTGATAGCGCCTTTTATACGATGCAAGCTGGTAACGAGTTGACCTATGCTAAAATAATAACGAAAATGTCGTCTTTTGATGAACAAACTAATGGAACCTATAAACATATTTGGCACTCGCATGCTGGTATTCCAGATGAATTGGTTTACTTTCCAGCCTCTTCATTTGGTATCGACGCAAACCGTACCTTCGAATATAGTGGCTTAATTGTTTTTACAGATGGTTACGTACCACGACGTTATGACAGCTGCAATCGTACGTTGGGTTATGGTGAATGTTTATCAGGACGCTGTTATCGTTTAGATAAAAAATGTGACGGGTTCTTCGATTGCGATGATGGCACCGATGAAATTGGTTGTCAGGTAGGATTATACTTATATATAAGCCATCTCTTTTGTGCATATAATAATTGAGTTCCTTAATTTGAATTTATAGGTTCGTAACGATACGGAATTATTGAACTACAGAAAATATCGCTTCAATCGTGTTCAACGTCATTATGAAAATGTTTGGCTATGGAAAGATGTGAATATTGGTCCACATGGGCGTTATATATTTAATATTGAAGTACCAGATCGACCAGCATACTGGATGGTTAGTGCTTTCAGCGTTAGTCCATCTAAAGGTTTTGGAATGATTAATAAACCAATAGAATATGTTGGAGTACAACCATTCTTCATTAATGTCGAAATGCCTACATTTTGCCGTCAAGGAGAACAAGTTGGTATACGCGTAACTGTGTTCAATTATATGACAACGCCTATTGAAGCAATTGTCGTATTGCATGAGAGTAAGGATTATAAATTTGTACATGTTGAAGAAGATGGTATTGTGCGATCTTATAACCCACGTACATCATTTGGTGAACATCAGTCTTTCATATACTTGGAAGCTCAAGGCACAACAGTTGTATACGTACCAGTAGTGCCACAACGACTAGGTGATATTGATGTCACCCTACATGTAGCTACATTATTAGGCACAGATCAGATTACACGTAGATTACATGTTGAGGCAGATGGCTTACCGCAATATCGTCATCAATCATTACTTTTAGATTTGTCAAATCGTGCTCATGTCTTAGAATATATGCATGTTAATGTTACACAAACTCCGGAAATACCATATCAAGTTGATCGTTATTTCGTTTATGGCTCTAATCGAGCACGTATCTCTGTTGTGGGAGATGTCGTAGGTCCAATATTTCCAACAATGCCAGTTAATGCAACTTCATTACTTTATCTTCCCATGGAATCTGCAGAACAAAATGCTTTTTCTTTCGCTGCTAATTTATTTACCGTTTTATATATGCGACGCATCAATCAGAGAAATAAAACAACTGAGAAACAAGCTTTCTATCATATGAATATCGGTTATCAACGTCAATTAAGCTTTATGCGACCTGATGGTTCGTTTTCCTTATTCCGTTCAGATTGGAATAATTCAGCCTCTTCAGTCTGGCTAACTGCATATTGTGTCCGCATATTCCAGGTAAATCAATATTAAAGCTTTCTAATCTATTATGTACTTTATGAACAATCTTAAAATAATACAAAAAAAATACATTTTTTTGGTTTTAAATTTAGGAAGCATCATTTTATGAATGGGAAAATTTTATTTGGATCGATTCAACAATAATTGAGAAAAATGTACGCTGGTTATTGCAACATCAAACACAAGATGGTGCTTTTTATGAGGTTACCTGGCTACCTGATCGAAAAATGAATCGAACGAATTTCGGAAATCATTCAACTTTACATAATCGCAATATTACACTGACATCTCATGTTCTTATTACTTTAGCAACAGTTAAAGATCTTCCTGGCTCTCTGGGAGCTCGAGTAGCTTTAGCACAACAGCGTGCCGTTAAGTGGATTGAAATGAACATGGAATTTCTTAAAACAACGCCAGAACCGTATGATGTAGCCATAACTGCATATGCCCTTCTACTGTGTAAATCACCTAGTGCTGAGCAGGTTTTCACTATACTTAGGAGTCAAGCGCGAACTATTGGTGACTTTATGTATTGGGGTAATAAAGAGGTGCCGCAGCCACCAAAGAAATTAGAAAATCAAAAATGGTTCTCACTGCCACGTTTACCTTATGAGTTTGACGCTTCGAATATAGAGACAACGGCCTATGCACTGCTTGTTTATGTGTCAAGACGAGAATTTATAGTAGATCCGATTGCACGTTGGTTAAATGCGCAGCGTTTGAACGATGGTGGTTGGGCATCTACACAAGTAAGTAGCAAAGCTGTAAATAATTTTGTGTTTTATATTATAATATTTTATTATGTCAATATTTTTGCAATTAGGATACCAGTGCTGCTTTATATGCTTTAGTTGAATATACTGTTCATTCCCGTATTCGGGAAGTTTCTTCTTTGACTATCGAAATAGAAGCTTCGTCGCAAGGTGGTAAACCACAAGTTTTAAAAATTGATGATACGAATTTGGCGCAGTTACAAAGTATAGAGGTATTGTATTGATTATAGACCCTTATACGATTCAGTATAATAATAAATTTTGTTTGCTTTTTTTTTGTAGATTCCTGATGCTTGGGGTACAGTGAAGGTACAAGCTAACGGCGCTGGTTATGCTATACTTCAAATGCATGTCCAATATAATGTCGATATCGAAAAATTCCAAACAAAACCACCTGTGCACGCATTCGGTCTACATACTAAGACTATATTCCATGGCAGAAATCAGTCACATATTTCATATGTAACTTGCCAAAAGTAAGTTGATTTAATTATTGATTTTATGTAGGTGAACAGTAATAAATCATAATTTATTTCAGTTGGATTAATACACAAGAATCAGAACGTTCTGGAATGGCCGTTTTAGATGTTAGCATACCGACTGGTTATTGGATACAACAGCAAAAACTTGATGCTTATGTATTAAGTAATCGTGTGAGAAATTTGCGTCGAGCTAAATATATGGATCGTAAAATCGTGTTTTACTTTGACTATGTGAGTATAACATGTTAATTTTTTTATAAATGATAATAGCAATCTCATTAAAAAATATATTTTATTTGTCTACATAACGCCATTTCGTACGCTGTCCTTAGTAATGGAATAGTCATATCTTGATCGTTTTGATCAATATCGCACACACGGAAGCGTACATAAAAACATGTTCTTTTTTCTTACTATTTCATGTTTTCAGCAGCTTTTATATTATATATAATCCGGGTGTGTTTAATATCTGTTGATATATGGTTTGAATGTTGAAAAAACGTTAAAGTAATATTCTATCGATAGTCAACACTGTAATGTTTCGATCCATAAAGCATATAGATAGACTATTCGCATTTAAAGCTGTTGCTGCACGAGTTAATACTACATTTTATAAACACAAAAACATTTTTTCCTTTTGTTTACTAATCTACCTATATTTTTTTCTAGCTTGATCAAGAGGATGTTTGTGTAAATTTCACAATTGAGCGTTGGTATCCAGTTGCAAATATGTCACGCTATTTGCCCATCCGAGTTTACGATTACTATGCACCAGGTTAGTAAAACGCGAAAATTTTTTTCTAATTCAATATTCTTATTACTAATCTGTGATATTTTTTTATGACAATTTGCAGAACGTTTTAACGAATCTATTTTCGATGCTCTGCCCACTTATTTGTTGAATATATGTGAAGTATGTGGAAGTTCCCAATGTCCTTATTGTTCAATATATAATATAAGCTGGCGTGCGTCGATGTCAGTAACATTAGTGTTGTTTAGTGTATTCATTTATTTATTAAGAGCTCGCATGTCAATATTTTTGCATGTTCTACACACGATAGTATAAGGAAATTCTATAAAAAAATCTCATAAAATTCAATAATTTGGCTTACAGTGACTGTTAAAATGCAAAGATAACATTGTTTTAGAAAACATTTGTAAATGTTTCTTATGGAGTTAAATTTTAAATTTAATTTATTATACTTTTGCTTATAACGATACGATACGAACTAAATATAATTCCGTCCATTTTGTCTGGTCAATTATGTATTGCAATGCGAATATGCAGAATATATTTTTATTTACTATTTAGTATAATATTAGTGCTTAATTTTAATGAATGATGCTCTTCTGATGAGCATATAGGAATAATAAGTGCATTATGCGTAAGAAATCTCATTTAATATTACTTGTTAACCGTTTGCGTGGCTTGCATATGCATTTTTTGTATTTATATATATACGCATTCATTTATTTCCAAATGTTCAACAATTGTTTGTAGTATTTTTAAGTTGACAGTAATTTGTAAATCGTATAGAAAGAATCAAACAAAACTTTTAAATGTACAAATCAGCAGAAGTAGACAAAGCTTTAACAATTATTGGCTATTATAGACTAAACAACTCATTATGTATATGACGAGTTCAAACAAAAAGGTTTTCACTTTTTCTATGATTGTAAGTGTCTTAATAATCAAATTGCCTTAGATTTTAAAAATCAATAAGTCTTTATATACAATATTAATTTTTTTTTTAACAATGACAAGTGTTTGAAACTATGTCAAGTTTGCTGTATATTCCCCTATTAATAGTTTATAGTATATAAGTATACACATAAACGAATAAAAAATAAATATTTTTTTACACTATTTTGTAAATTGAGATAAAGTATGAACACAACAAAAATTATTAAATTGGTAAATTGGTAGAGACTTTTATACAAGTTTGATTGTAATTTCTCCGTCCTTTTTTCTAAAAGTAATATTATAACAAATAAAACTATTTTTTAACTAAAATTTTTTCTTTTGTAGTTTCTTTTTCAATAATTATAATAATTAATTATTATTATTTATACAATTTATTATTTTAAGTTAGTTCAATTCGATATTTATGATTCTATGATAGATCATGATTGATTCTTCGTATTGATGTAGTATCAAATGAGCAGCATGTGTAGTATAAACTCAAGTTGGTAAAGAAGCTCTGTAAATCTCATATCTAAATTGGCTTTAACGTACTATATAATGTAACACTAGTCAGAATACCAGGTCATGATGAATTTGACGATAACGAAGCAGCCTTAAATTGTCTGGGTTAGCTTAGAAGATTCTCTGTAGAAATAGTATAATAGATTTCATGGCTCATAGCAAAGAACTGCAATGAGTATTCAACACTCGAATCATTGACTGTGTGTCATTTATATGAATTCTGACTCTTTTTTTTATATATATGACACCGCCTGATTCATACAAACAGCTGACAGCACTAACAATGATTTATACTCTGCTCATATGATACTCATAAACACCGACATTCGACAGAAAAGTGATGCAAATGATTTATAAATCACTCATGAGTATTACGTCACAATCGGGAAAAATTTGCTTGTTGTTGTTTACTGTGCATATAATTTACTACTGAAACAATCCCAGAAAAAAATTTTTTCAGAAAAACATTTATACGCATTTAGATGTAGTTTTTTATGAGTGCACTTGAGTGACATAGTACTCCATTACCCTATTATAGGTAGTATGTTTCATTCGAGTACGTGAAATCATTTTTGATCATTGTGAAACTAACGTTTTATCTGATATACGATATTCGTGGCTTTTTTGCAAATACCAACAAAAAGTTTCTACAAAAATTGATCTATAAGTAATAACAACCGCTTTTTCATCTCCTGTATGGCAGACTTTTTACATATGTAGGTTGTAAAATAGTTGTTGGACAAAAAATTCTAGCTCTATATGCGGGTTTTTTTTAATTAGTTAGCATAGTTTTTTATTTATACATTCGGACGGCGTACTGTATCAGTGTTATTTAACACAATACACGGAAGAAGTGGCAACTTGAAGTCAGTACATTAATCGGTAATGACTAAAATCTTGTCACATAAAAATTTAGCGTTACAAATCCCCGTTACAAAGCGTAATCACTCACAAATTGCAATACAGTACCACATTCATTTAATTCACAAACACAACACGATCACCTGACACAGCAATCACCATTTACGTTTCACAATAGAAGACACCTGGATTAAAAATCGTTTAATTAATATTTAATATATAATATTATGACAAGCAAATCAGAAGAATCCACGCTTATGGCATACAAAAGTATTGATCTAATGGCAGCCGTATATAGCCATTTAGCAACACGTAGTTGTAATCCCCGCTTTTTAGCAATAGCTTTCTGACATAAAAGCAGCGCAATGTTTGCTTTCCTAGCGCGCTCTGAAATATTTTCTTTCCAGCTGAGTTTTCTATCGAAAACGATACCTAAAAATTTTGCGTTCTCAGTAAATTGTTTCGTAGAACCTTGAATATAGGGTGGATTTCTGTTTTGCTGGGGCTAACCTCAAGGCCACAATTTAGTATCCATTTATTTAGGATATTAAAACCATTCTTCAGAATATCTCTTAAGGGGGTAACATATTTTCCAGTAACTGTTAATGCAAAGTCATCCGCATATGCAATAGTTTCGCAACCCGCTCTCCTCAGTTTTTGTAGCAGTTCATTCACCACTATATTCCAGAGGAGGGGAGAGAGTACGACCACTTGCGGAGTACCTGTATTTACTGTCTGTGTGCTGTTGACGCACCCATTTGTGCTTCAATAATTCGACGATTCCACATGCGATAGTCCACTGAGTCGATCGGCTAGTTGTTCAACCGATCTTGTGGCTTTTGCAGCCTTTTGCCTCTCTCTTCTTCGCTTCTGCTTCTCCCTCTTGTTCAGACGGATACGCTCGGCCAAGTCGAGATCAGTCTTTGTCATGTTTCCAACTGTTTTGGTTAACGGCTCAGCCTCTTGCGGGGCTTCTTCGTCCACCATTTTGTTGGTCTCATGACCGTCATGCGTTGTCTTGGCGAGGCCTCATTGTCCACCTTATCAGCATCAACCACTTCGCCTTGAGTTGGTATATTTAAAATTTGTTTATCAATTTTGATTCTCACGAGTTGCGAAGAGAGATATGTCCACCTGCGGAGAGCTTCACATTGCACAGGTAAGGCTGTTTAAAACAGGAGGTCGCCAGGTATCCTGAGTTCGCTACTAAGACTGCTTCTACCCCAGCAGCCAAGCTAAAGGCGTAGCTGTTCCACCTTAGTTTGGGGGGTTTTATTTCTAATACACACAATCCATTTATTCACACATTCATACAATCATTCTCACTGCTCATTCACTAAAAGGGTGTTTTCCTTCACCCCGCCCGACTATCTGCGTCAAACGATAAGCAGAGACATGACCGTACTTATCGCTTGACGGTTGACCTGATAGATAGTCGCACTTCCCGAAGGCTGGTCAACTTAGCAGGGCCTGAGCAAATGCCGGGCCGACCTGCTAGCAGAAGGGTCGTCTTATTAGGAATCGTAGCAAGCTACTTTGACCTGTGCGCCCTCACGACTTACCAGGAATCGTAGAAGTTCTACTTTAACCTGTGCATTTTCTCTTTTAGTCGCCTTTTACGACAAGCAGAGACAAACTGAGGTGGTATTCTTATCCCGCCACCACACGGATTATCATCAGCGTATCTTATATTATTAATATATTGGCCGTTTGATTTGATACCTTTGTCGTTACAGTTTTGAAAAGCCTCGTCAAATATTCTTTCTGCATATATATTAAATAGAAGTGGTGATAGTATACACCCCTGTCTCACGCCTCTTTTTATTGGTATTTGGTCTGTTATTACGTCACCAAAACGGACGCTTGCCGTCTGATTCCAATACAGATTTGAAATACTCTGAATATCTTTCTCGTTAATGTCCATACTTCTGAGCACTTCAATTAGTTTTTGATGTTTTACATTATCAAATGCTTTCCCGTAATCTATGAAACACATATAGACATCTTTTTGTACATCTAGCTTCTTGTGTTCCCATAGCATCTCTAAATCCAAATTGTGTACGACCCATTACCGTTTCACATTTTTTGTATATTCTTGCATGTAGTATTTTAAGAAATAATTTGAGACTATGATTCATTAGGCTTATTAAGCGGAACTCATTACATTTTCTGGCAGTTTTCCTTTTGGGTATCGCTATAAACGTCGATTGCAGCCAGTCATCTGGGTATATACCAGTGTTGTATGTATTATTAAGTATCTTTTCTAAATATTCGATACTTTCGTCTTCAAACAATTTTATTATTTCCGCAGGGAGATTATCCGGTTGAGCAGCCTTATTATTTTTTAAAAATTTTATTGCCTGAAAGATCTCTGATTTGCTCAGCTTTGGTTATGAACATTAAAATCATCATGAGCTCTTTGGAGTTTTTCTATCTCACAACATTCGTTATTCAACCATGATATTTTAGCCTGCCGTATATTAGTTTTTATAATACTATGCAAGCGATTGTAGTCGTGTCGGTTTTTATTCCTAACCCTTCTTCTTTGATTCATTAGATCAAATATGTCTTCAGTCATCCACGGGTTTTTGGGTTTATATTTCTGTACACCAGTAGCGAGGCGTCAGCTTTTTGGCAAGGTGTTCACAATTTAATCAAAACAGAATTCCAACTATAACGTATTCCCCCTACTTCTAAGTATTGTCCTTTCCACAAGCAAATAGCGTACAAGACCAATAAAACAATTTATTTAAATGTTCGCAGCCTGTGATCCACTGGTTTTTATTTACCATAAAGCTGTAACTGTAGGAAAACGACGACTTACCATAGATTTCGACATTTTTACAACAGGTATCAAATTCTTTATATCTGGAGTTGGTTTATTCATTTTATGAATTAAAATCTTTTTTTCAGAAGATCGTTTAAAAAAAGACATTGAATCAAATCTTTAATCACACATTTATCCATTTCTAAATATTATTTTTCACTTCAAATTTCTTTAATCTCTTTCTTTACTTTTACCATTTGCTAGTATCAAATTGCAATAATGACTTTGTTTTGATTAATTTCCAACCTCTATATAAGAGTAAGAAACTCTCATGCATTCATTTACTCTTTTACTTTGTATTTACAATGCCCGGTTCAGTTTTTATACTGAACCATTTCCCCATATAAAACAGCAACCGTGACTCGTCAAATGTAAAGCGATTTTCGCTCAGTCATTTCTTTTCTCTTTTGTATTTACTTTGCATAACATTGGAAGTGCACTTTTTTTATTGAACTGCTTGCACGTATTAATTTAAGAGTTAAGATTATTTTACGTACATATATTTGTTTGTATGTTTTGTGTTGTGTATTCAATATTGAACATAGTCCCAATGTGAATGTTATTTCATTTACATGCTTTGTAAACAACGCGGTGCAGTTTTTATTCTGCACCTTAGTATATTTCAAGAGGAATGTGTTTTCTCTTTTATTAATTATAAGCAATGTTGGGTGTATCTAACATATGTGTGATTTTGTTTGTATTCTACGTTTTGTGTTTATGTTAATCTGTTTGGAAAAGCTATTATAAAAAATGTTAAGTAGCAATATAGCGAGATTATTTACCTAATAAAAAAAAATCTAAAAAGGAAGCTTTGTTAAGGTGTTCAGTGAATACACTGAACCATTCGACGCCTCGCCTCTGCTGTAGACCCAATTTTTCTTTGGTAACCTCTTTTATCGTCGTGACTGCTTGATTCCAACTACTGTTTGTGGACATCAGATTCATTACCTTGTATAATTTGTACACATCTATTAACTTCCGATGATAATTCGTTTCGTATGTTTTCATCTTTAAGATTTTCTAGGCAAATGTAATTTCTCTTAGAATTAAACTCTTCATGGAAAAGTAAACAACTGTGAATATAATATCTCAGTAAAATTTATTAAGAAAAAGCACGCATTTACAAATGTATGACTCTATGTATATTAAAAAATTCTTCTTAAATATTCTTATTAATCTCTTTTAAAAGGCGCCAAAGCCGCATAGATAATAGCGAAGCCCTCCTTAATAGCAGCCACAGATTTAGCCCCTGTAACAACCAACTTGCCACTTGCATATATTAAAAATAACATAGTTGGCAAACGATAATATAAGGCAGGGAATATTTCTGGTTCGTATTTTGTAAACTGCATATGTCCATTATTGAGGTCTTCGAGACCTATTGGAAAACGTACATCTATTACACCCACTATGTTACATATGGTAAAATCTTTGAATTCAACTTCATAGCCAAGCTTTTGGATGAGTTTGGCGAATTTATGGGACCCCAGACGAGCGTCTACCTCACTTTTTGTGCCGACTACCACCACTTTCCCGGAATTAAAAATCCGGGCAGTGCATTTTGGAAAACGCATGGTCATTTTCATACCAATGAAAGTTTGTGGGGAATACTCTGAATTGCGTGTACGGCGATAGATGTCCAATAGATCCAATTTTATGCCGACATTGTAAGTGGCGACAACATTTCTGAAATAATAATAATTACTTTAAAATCGAAGTATCATAAACACTTAATTATGGTTCGACTACTTACTTAATTTCCATTTTTTCGAATATTTCATCAGCCATTTTCAACAAGCTTTTCCAATTGAATGTTTAATGAAATTGAAAAATTGAAAAATTTTGCCGCGCTGAAATGACCGACAGGATGATTTTTATAACGGTATTAACATTTTTTATATTTCTATCTCTTTTCTTCCAAATTCATGGCGTATATGCGAGACAAGTATTTTTAGTTAGAATCAAAGAATACAAAGAATAAAATCTTCTCTGGTTTGTATGTAGCCATTTCACATTCTGTTCTTAGAAGAAATGACTAGATTTTGCTCTATATTGCTCTATATTGCTTTATTTCTTATATTTTTTCGCATAATATTGTGGTCTCTTTAGAGTTGTGACGACCTATACTTGTAGTTTATTTCGCAAAACTACACAGAAGAAGCAAAAACTAAGCCGTATAAAATACGGATAGAGGTATCATGGTACACAACAAAGAATTATTTGAAGGTAGGCATTAAGAAATAAAATTACTGATCTTCAGTAAATTGAAATCATATTATTTTATAAAATAATATGAAATTAAAAATTAAAATGAATACGGAATTGAAAGGAATGATAAAAATATTGGAAATTTCAAAATAAAACACTGAAATAAGTAATTTTTTGTAGGTACTCTCGATGCTGGAAGAAAACAGCAACGTTTTGCAGCGTCCGAGGGAAGTGAGCTGTTTCACGGATTAGAAACGTCCGAGACGTTGTAAATGTAGCAACAGTTTATTCTAAAGATTCAAGCAGTAGTGAAGAAGAGCAGGAAAAATGAAGAAACGTTGAAACAACTATAGAATCCATAAGCCCAATACATTTTAAAAGTCACTTCAGACTACGAGGAAATACAGCGGAAGACCTTATATGTAAATATATGTGGAGTTGTCTGTGATTAAATCACAAATTTAATATATTTCTAGTGCGCTTCTCAGAATCGGAGTATTTGTATTATACAGAGAACCTGGGTCTTTGCATGATTACAGAGTTTTGAGAAAATCAAAGCTGTATAGAATGGCGCAGTCGCGATACGAAGAATTATTTTCAAGCTCGTCGTTCATTATTGAAGTTTCTGCTTATCCTTGTACAAATTGGATTGTGTCACATTACAAAAATTATGGAAATTTAACCGATAACCAAAAATTTTAATGAAAAACATTAATCTGTCCGTATTGTAGTTGAGAACGCTTTCGGTTTACTCAAACATCGTTTTCAAAGACTATTAAAATTTACTGATCAAACAAATTTGGCTGCAATAATAAATGTAGTAGTAAGCGTTTGTGTTTTGCATAATATTTGTATAATTATGATATATTCGAGTATTCTGAATCAAATAGTAATAATGAAAGCTATGACGAACCGTAAATGGATAAAGAACATGAATTGGATCATTGTGTTAATAGAAGAAATAGACTTTTCTATTATTTGTTAAGAAAAGATGTCATATAAATTTTTTTTACGATATTTTATTGATATTTTTTAAAAAAAAATTTTGTGCTTACAAATTAACTTACTTTAATAGAAACTTACTTGAAATTAAAATATTTTATATAAAACTAAAATAAATAATATAAATTTAAATATGTATTCAAGAAATTCTAAACTTAAAAATATATATTACATAAAAAAAACATATCATTAATAAAATATGCTAACTTATACATAACTTATTTCTAAAATTTATAAAAATATATTTACATTTTTTCCGTAAGTTTTTCAAGTAATTTAAATTTATTTATGTCGCCATCCAGTTCATTAGCGATAGCCCAGCATGTGTTTGTACAATGTTTATTTCCAACTCTTCCAACACCTCTATATCTTCAACATCACTGTTAAACCCTAACGTCGCAGTGTGATTATTTGAAATAATTGGTTTATCGTCAAATATTTTGTTCATCAACTGCGTGTAGGGTGCTACGCATGTTGATGCACCAGTCCGCTTGTTGTTATATTTGGCCACTTTTAATGCACATTCTTCTTCCTAGGCAGACTGGAGTGGAGTCATCTTAAAAACATATTTTTTATTTTAATTAAATTTTTATTTCAAATAAATTACAGAAGCTATGTGATACTTACTACAATTCCATGTGCTATTATGTCCTCAAGCACTTGTTGGTATCCAAGTTTTTTTTTCTTGTTTTCAAAAATCCTTGCTTTCATGTCAAGTAACACTCTAGAAAACACTTCGTTTCTTCTGTGGTTCATAGTTTGCGTGTATTTCTATAAAACCATTTTTAAGAAAAACTTTTCAAAAATTAAATTTAAGTTTTATTAAATTTACCTATGTAAACTATAAATTAAATAAAATAAGGTAAATATTACTTGTTAATAACTAGCATAATTAAAAATTCATTGTACTTTGTACTTACGATTTCTCCATTAGTTTTCAAGATTTTTATATATTGTTCAATGTTTTGTTTTTATCCTAATTTTCAAATTTTTGAATTTTGTTTGAATTTTTGATTATATACGATTTTTGACATATGATTGCAATATTCGTTGAAATTTCAAATGAAGGTTCACAATAGTTCGCTTACTGCGTTGGTAACATTTTTTTTTTACTGACTGATGTTTTTACTGGTGAGAAAATAGTGTTGTTATTTTGCGTACATTTTGGCCAGTAACTTGCTTTTGTTACCATACTTGTACACCACCGAAAATCCGAAAATGCCTATAATACTCACACAGTTAAAAGGCTGCACATTAAGGCTAAATTAGGTAAACAGTTCAACTAGGCCAACAAACCATCATGACCGAAGTAACTGTTTTGAGCTGTTTAGACACCTTGGACGGATTATTTCGTAATATGTTACTATTTATCAGGGTGCTTAAATATGTTTTAAGGTGGATAAGATAGTTATTGCTGTACGTATAAGTTATGTTTTGCTCTCTGAAATATTATGAGAAGACTTATTGAATATTAAATTATAATACATATAGGGTGTCGATTTTTTAATCGATTAAATCACCATTTTTGTTCTTCACGCAAGTTGAAATTCAAGTAGAAACATTTGAAATGACGTGTGTCATTCTATATTCCAAAACATTAATCTAGTATATCTTCCATAACCGGGTGGGTTATAAAGGAGCAGCATTGATTGACCTACTGCTTTGTGCATTCTATCACTATATAGTAACAACAACTTATTTTAACGACCTCTAAACTGAGCGCGTTACGTAGTCTTATATACATATAGAGATTGTTAACAAATGATCTGAAATAAAATTTAGAATTTTAATTAGTTAGTTGAGATCTTAATTTTGCCGATTAATATGTGCTTAGTCAAGCTTCAACATACATACATATGTATGTTGAAAATGTAAGGCTAGTCGTAGTATTTCTAAGACTATTTCTAAGACTAAGCAGCATTAAGAATACGAAATTTCATTCTAGGACAAGGTATCGACCTAATACTATTTAAGATGAGTAGAAAAATAGAGAATGAATAATAAAAAGCGTAACTTGTTTTTTAGTGGAAAAATATATGCAGAAGTGAATACACTACATATACCTACTTGGCAGGAATTCCGCCTACACTGTGAAATAACAATAGAGATAAAAAGTTATTAAATGATCGTCAAATTTCATTAGTAATTACAGGATGTAGACTCAGCCACACTGAAATAAAAATCAATAAGTAAAAAATGCTAGTGCCAAGTTAGCAACGTTGCTGGAAAATGTAGAGCCAATTTTCGATATGGCGGTATATGTTATGCAGTTTACAGAAGAAAATTTTTGTTTTTTATGTGCAATATAGTTTTGAATTTAATTTAAATATTAAATTTAAAATATTATTATTATATAAATTAAATTTTATTATCATCCCCTTACCACAGAATACAACCGCCTATAAATACTTTTAACAGAGTTCTTTAATAAACTTTACAGTGGTGGTGAATTTTTAGCATTGTACAGGTTTTCACCTTAATATGTTATTAGAATGGTGTTAGTTAACATACATTTTTTTCGTAAAAAATTCACTTTTTTAAACATATATAATTAAAAAACGTTCTACTCGATTTTTGTGAAATTAGTTTTGTTTGAAAGAGTGACCAATTTAGTTTTAGGAACTTGAAGCGTGCAGGTTGTACCTCCTTCGAAAGTTAAATAAAATGCACTTATATCGGAACATGTGCAAAATTTATACTTATTTTAATAATATTTTGATGTTTTAGTTGAGATATTGAAATGATTCTTATTTATCCGGTTTTGTGAAAGTTTTTTTTATACTTTTGCGTTTTACATTTTTTAAAAAGCTTGAAATTTGACGAGTTAAGTAATTTGACTTTGACATCAAATTTCTCAAAATTGGTCTACTCGATTTTTATGATTTTTTTTTTGCTATTGATAGCCTGATTAATTCTCTATTAGATGCATTTCCGTGCAACATTGTACCTGTTCTAGATTTTTCTAAAAATAAATTTTATCAAAAAAAGTCGATTTTGGTCAATTTTTATTTTCCCTGTAATTTGAAAAATACGCATCGTATCTCAAATTGGTAAATGCCAATCGAAAGATCTTTCAAAACTCTATAAGAATAATGCCTTTTGTTTTAGTTTAATTCCTTATATTAACGAAAATATCATTTTTTAAAAATTTTTTGAAAATACAGCCCTACATTTTCCAGCAACGTTGCTAACTTGGCGCTGGTGTAAAAAATATAACTAAATTGAGATGAAACCATTTGGTTTTCATTTTGACACGTTTTCTTCCTTGTTTGTGTTTTGATTTATTGAGTAATATCGTCTATATTCAAAATCGCAAATAAATTTCTCTTTGACGTTTGGTAAGGATAAATGAATGTACATTTTCAAAACTTTGACAGCTTTACACAAAACTGTCATGTTTCACTTAAGGTTAGGATTGTGTCTTGTCGATGGTACATTTGCTTTTTGTCTTAACTTTACGTGTTTTCGTAATACCGGGTAAATTAACATGCAGAATCAAACTGATTTCAAGATGAATCGAGATATTCATTTAAAAAGAAGACAACAATTATAAATAAACTTTCATACATAATCCATGCAAACACTAGAATAGATAAAAAAAGATTTTAATATTATCAAATTATTAATATCTTATTTTGATAAAGCTTATAAAATATTTAAGAATTTACTGTACTTACTGTACAGTAAGTACTTAAATATTAAAATTATTACTTCAATATTCAATATAAGATCGTTTCTCTTCTAAATTGTTATTAATTAGGAAGTGAAGCAATGCTAATATTGATATTTGAAGTATTTTTGAGAAAATGTACAAAACTATTTTATTTACATTACATAAATTTAATTTTTCTTAAAACTTAATAAAATAGGATAAATAGAATCTAGGCAGTCCATAATATCTCTACGTGATTTAGCGCCAGTAAATACAATTTTTCCATTAACAAAAATAAGTAGCACCAAACGCGGCTTCACCATACGGTAAATAAGGCCAGGAAATAGTTCAGGCTCATAAGAACTAAATTGACCATGCACCTGGTTTAGATTCTCCAGCCGTATGGGAAAACGTAAATCTACTGTAGCTACAATGTTTTGTATTTTATATTCTCGAAAACTGGCGGTATATCCAAGCTTTTGCAATATCCTAACAAACTTACGTGAGCCCAAAGATGCTTGCATTTCATTACGGGCACCAGTAATTATAATTTTACCAGTTCGGAAGATCAGAGCAGTACAACGAGGTTCACGTAATCGCATTACTACACCATGGAAGCGTGATGGATTATACTCTGTATTGCGTGTTCGAAAATTAATCTCGCGCAAGTTTAGCTCACAACCAACTGATACAGTGGCAACAACGTTCCTATGAGAAAATAATATTATGTTAGTTAATAATTTAAAAAAAATTTTTAATGTTAATGTATGTTCAATGTTTATGTATCGAATTTGATTTTAAAATGTTTCAAAACTTTTTATGCAAATATTACAATCAATGGTCAATGGTATTGACCACTGTACATCATTACCAAAATTCATGTGTCACAATATCAAAATTTGACATGGATATCAACAAGCTATCATTGCATATCGCATGTCCAACACTTTCTTAAGATATCTAAAAAAATTATTTAAAAGAAATTTAAATTAGGCACTATCTAAGCATTTTTAAGCATATTTTTATTTTATTATATTATACTCTATAATTTTATTTTATATGACAATCTCAGCAAAATGGTACTACTGTGGTATATCATTTTTTTAACATTAACTTCAAGCAACAACAGCTCCAATTTCTTTCGATGAAATAATAAACCATTCAAATGCAAACATTAAATTTAAAATTGGAAACTAATTTTTCCTGCTTGGTTTTTAATATATAGTGTCTCTGGTATAATGTTCATATTAAATCTCATAATATGAAAATTATAAATTATATAATGAACTCATACTTAAGAACTATAATTATAAACAAATATTAAAATTCTTGATATCAGTTCCCATTACATTTCGAATTATATCTTACTAAATGAACTAAAAGTTACATTCTTTTATAATGTATGGAATAATTGCCTTTTATAAACATATTTAAAATTAACGTTAAAGAAATGTTTAAATAATTAAAATAAATTTAGTAAATGCAGCTAAAATTCATAATTCACATATCTTATACGCAGACTATACAAAATTACAAATTATTTTATAATTTATTAATTTAAATAATAAAAACTACTTACTGTAACTTAACCTCATGTTTCGCATCCTTCGGCTCAATAGGTGTGCTGCATGGCTGTAGTGGTAACAAATTCGAATGCGGATTGACCTATTACAATTACAGTAAAGCATAAATTAATTTTATAATGTAGGTTATTTATATGAATTCAGTGTTCTACTTTGTTGCTAGATGAAATTGTTATTGGCACCGAATTTCCAGCTGAGACACTACTTTGCAAACACTGTGAAGTTAAGTCAGTACGATCACATTCCATTTTTGATCTATTTCATAAAGAGTAAACAAATGCGCGGATCCAGATTTTACTATTTGTTGCAATATTTTAATAGTAATCAATAAAACTATTTAATAAGTTTTATTACGCATGTAACGTAAGTGAAACACATTTAAATTGCTTAAGATAATGAAATGCATGTGCAAATATGCATACAAATTTACTTTTTGTACGAGATTTACACATTTTGACATTTTGCTTTTGTGCACTGTTCGTAAGAGTTGATAGATTTTTTGGTTTGTTTGTTTTACAGGTTATTCGTGTTCTGCTGATTTTGAGTCTGGCAGTCAAATGTCAAACACAAAAATGGCAGCACATAGTGGAGGAGGAATAGATTGGAGCTCCGTTGTAAAACCTCTTTTATCAAGCCGTTTTGGAGTTTTAAATAAATCAGAAATAAATAATTTAACCAAAGCAATATTAAGATGGTATGTATTTTATTATTTGTTTGCCAAAATTGCCAAGTGACAAAAGCAAATTTGCGATTAAGACTTCGGCAAAAAAAAAGATGGCGACCTAAGAAACGGTATATTTTATTGTGAAATTATTTAATTTAATATATGTTTTTTTTTCCTAATTTCAGTGAAAGTGAATTTTTTGATGAAGACAATCACTCAAATCCATTTTATACAGCATTTGCAGCACTTGCGGCAGATAAATTGAGTCAATCAAAAATAGGTAATTTCAAAAAAAATTTGTGCACTTGAGTTAGGGTAAAGGGGAAAGCAAAAAATTGCAACTTCATATATTTCCTTTCTCCTTTTCTTATATGTAACTATATGCAATTTTTTTGTTCTTTTGCAGTGAATCCAAGAGATGTACCGCAAATATATGAGGCTACTTCAGTGCTAATATCATTTATTCTGTCTAGATTAAATAAAGTGAATGTTTATGAAATAAAATGGTTATTGCCAGTATTAAAAAATTTATGCGAAGGCAAAAATCAGACTCAGTCAAAACCTGTGTTCACGACTACGGCTAGTGGCACTACATTGACGAGTAGTTCATTACTTCAATTCGATTTTAACCATGTTGCATCAATCCTTAAAACATCTAAATATCCAGAAATCTCTAAGTGCATACTCACTGCAAACGAAAAGGATTCACCGAAATCCGAAATTAGACGGTCGAGATCAGATTTATCATCGATAATTGTACAACAGCTTACAGCACCACTAGAAAGTGGAAGATTACTATGGGCTTCGTTGAGTGAAGAACCGGCTGAATGCACAGTAAGTAATTTATTTCAATGAAGTATGAAATTTTCATAATCTCTTGTAAAATTATAGCTATTTATGTTTTGTGAAAATGGCATTTGCAATTGTTGAAAGAAAAAGAAAGATATACTTTTATATAGTGAAAGCCTTTTATTTATTGTGAAATCTTTTTAGAATAAATTAATAGTAAAAACTAATTGTAATAAAATTGATAGAAACTAAAATGCACTCAACCTTAATTGTTAAACGATCAGATACGTTAAGTTTCGAGCTTAGCTTTCGAAACGCCCAAATTATTAACTATAATATGTAATTATAGTTATAAATTAAAACTTGCCTTTATTTTAGAACCACTAGAATTCATTAACTTATAACAGTTGTCACCTTAACGTTATCATAAGTATAATAATAATTTCATTTTTAAATATTATGTTTTTAGAGAAATAATTATCATTCTTTCAATTCAAATGCGTATTATGACGTTATGAACTTTTGATTTCGATCCAAATATAAACTAACAATACTAATAGTATTATTGTAAGCGAATCATTTAAAAACTTAATCTATAAATTAAAAAAATCATGCATGCATATATTACTGAAATAGATATTTCCTATTTTCTTAGACATCTCTTCTGTGTGGACAATTTTTCTACACCTAATTTCAAATCAGACTTTTAGAAGTAAGTTTGTTAGTTAGTTTATTTATTTATTTACCTGATTTTAAATTTAATTTGTCTTTAGTTTTATACTATTATAAATACAGTAGAAAATTATTTTGGTGGAATGTGGATTTATTGCATATCTATTGAGTTATTGATGTATTCCACGAACGGCACTTAGTCACTCGAAGAGTGGCTCCGGGACGTAGACTTGGCCATTTTTGAAACCTACATATTGAGTAAATGTTACTATAGTTAACTAGATAGAAATAAGATTAATTAATGATAAAAGTTAATTATTTCAAAAAGGTATAGACATAGTTTACTCTCGATAAAGTGAGCAAGAATTTTGTTAACATATACACATAATATACACTGCGAATTTAGATACCGAATTATTTGTTGTTTTTTATTTAGACTCCAGGCCGTATAAGTTTTTAATGTAGTATGCTTTAGTATGTATTCCTCTGAAGGTTTTTGAGTAGTCGAAAATTTATATTTAATGTATTGCCGCAAATGCTAGTCTTTTCTTTCTGCATTTTTTCAGTTATTAGATTAGGGTACTTCTCGCAATGCTACCTCTACTTAGAATATGATATAAATTAAAGATCCCGTCATATTCTATATAAACATTTCTATAAGTCTGTAGTCTTAGTAGAAGTCTATAAATCTATCACCAATCTAGTAGATTCTAATTATAAAAAACCTACAGTCAGAAAACCTTGACCTTGATTTTTAATGTAATAAGGCATTGATATAAAAAATATTAAAAGTACAGAGTCATGTTAAGCATCACTTAAAATTATGTTTACTAGATAAAAAATTAATATGAAACTTCAGCAATTGACTGAACTATTTTTGGCTTAAGATATTTTTTCGAATATATAACAATGATGCCGTATGTCTTGGTAAATATTACCAACAGACTCTCCTATTTATACTATGTTTTTCGTTTATATATAAATAACATATATAATTAATTTCTATTGAATACCATATCATGTTATTATTTAAAATTGATGAAATATCACTTGTTTTTTTTTTTTTAGGAAACATTTGCAGCTGCAAACATAGCTCATTTGCAATCCGCAAATGGTGGGGAGACAATATTGGAAATGTGCAGTTTGCTTCCAACTTTATTACGTTATCGCTTGAAGCATTTGGAAACAGTTGCTACAGTAAACAGCAAGCCTCTATACTTGCCATTGACACAAGCGGATGCAGTTCTGTTTAAAAATCAATTAATACACATTGTCAATGATATTTCAATTCTCTATCAAGCACTTTCGTTGCCTATAATCGAACCATTATCAGCTAGTCGCATACAAAAATTGTCAAAATGTGCTATATCTGCGCTTTACTGTGCCGTCTTAACGTCCATGGCGAATAGTGTAACAACTATGGTATCAGCAAATTTGACACAAAAGGGGCAGGCACAAACACCTGCTAATATAATATCATCAAATCAAACTGCTAAAGACGTGGATGAGGCTGATGAGCAAGCCCGTTTCATTGTCGATAAGTCATTAGAGATATACACAATTATAGGAAATATATTTAATAATCATGCTAGATCACATGTATACCAAAATCATTTGTGTGCTGGTGCATGGCTTTTAGTAAGCGGCATACAAGGTGCTCTTGGTGCATCTGGTAATACTAGTGCATTCAACAGTAAACAACCAAGTACATATGATGAAAATGTTAGAACAAAACTAAATACTAAGCTTGCATCAGATAATACACCACCTGCGGCAACAGCACGCGTAAATCTATTTAAAGTACAACAAGGCTTTGGAGTACTTAATGCAGCTCTTGCCAATCATTGCATACAATTGCTAAGCGAGCTGATTGAAGATCTTAAAATTGAATCGAATAGTAGTGAAGCAAATGCTAATCAAAATGTGCCAGATCCAACCAACTTTGATATTTTAGAAAATTATACTTCTCTTGAGCGAATAATACGCGTTCTTAGCATCGCTCCGATGCATCAACTATTCACATTTCTGGCGACAGTTTCATATCGGAAAGCTTGCGCTCTTAAACGAGCAAATGCAAAAGACCGAGCTGAATGTGAACCTATAAGTTATTCAGATTCTACTACATGCTTTAATGACACACTGTCTTGTTCTGATAACTCAGAAGAAGATGACAGTGAAAGTTATTTGGGACATTGGTTTAAAGAAACGTTGTCACCCGAAGCAGTTGAAGATACTAATGTACAAGTACCAGATCGTTCTAATGAGAATCAGAAGTCTAACTTAATGATAGCGGGTGATGAACCACACGAATATCTGGATTTAGCAGCGCAGATATTTTGTTTTCTTGATTTGTTTTTAATAAATAAAAATGATTACATGCATCGCTACGTTAAAGTTGGATTAAGTGATCATCAAATGAATTTATTGGCTAACATACTGAAGGATCTTGATCGGGATAATGCACGGGGTGAATGTGAGACTGGCACTTGTGCTAAGTGGCAAACAGCTATGATGCGTTTTTCTGGTGCAGTTGGGCGTTATTTGCATAATTTAATATCTGCTTCCTTGCTGAGTGAATCGTTGCAAGTAAGCCTGCTACAATATTTATCAGTATCACCATGGACAAATGACACAAATGTATGGCCACTACAAGTATATTCAAATACTCTCTCCGTATTGGTACAAATAATATTACTTAGGCCTGCACATGAAAAGGAAGCTGCTTGTCTTTCAGTGTGGCAAAGATTGATTAACACTTTAGCCGAAGGTGTATGTGGTCCACTTATAGCAACTACAGCTTCAGATGTTGATTATGAAGATTTAAATATTGAACATGCACAATTAATGTTATTTTTATTTCATTCACTAAATCTTATGCAGAAAAAATCAATTTTATTACTCAATGCTGGCGCAGTTATTCGCTGTGCGGAAAATTGTCGTTCAATACCAACAGATCGACCTTTACGCAATAGTCAAATTATGTTACTATCTAGATTGCTTTTACTACTCGAATATTTAATGAAACACTTATATAATGCTCCTGCAGAATTATTGGATCAAGTGCGATGGAATTTATTCAGCGTTAGCTCATTGCAGGAGAGTCAAAAAGTTTCCGATTTGTTAAGTTCTAAAGCTAAATTAATTTCATTTAACCGAAAGGATATTGAAGATAAATTTAGAAAACAAAGTTCAGAGTGCATGTCAAGTAATTATACAATTTTTTATAGTATAATTTATTAAAAATAAATATGTATTATTGAATTTCAGATATACGCCCTACATTTTATTCACTGACTTTACTTGATCCACCAACTAATGGACTGCAACAAGAATTTAAATTAGACGGACTTGCTTGGAATTTCATTCTATGCACACCTGACAAGTTAAAATATAATGTTCTTGTAAATGCTCTGATTGATATACTTAATATCGTCGATATGGCACAATTTAAACTTCATGCTGATACACGTTTTGCAATACAATATTGTTTCAGTCTTTGTTGGAAATTAGTACTTGGCATGCCACCATCTCTTCAGCATGTTGAAAAATTACCAGAAGAAACCGAACCTAATTTACATTCACTTTTATGGAGTATTCGCTTTCCATCTACTCAAGCTCATTACCTTATAGTCAATAGTTTGGTTAAACAAGGTATATATACTCAAACTGCCGAAAATTTATGGACCACTACGACAGATAAAGTTACTGAAATGCGTTACAAACTAAAACAAACAATACACGCTGTTGATTACTTTCTACATAATATAAATAAAAGTAAGTAATTGAATTACACTTGTTTATTAAATAATTTTTTAAGTAATTTTCCAATTATAGTGTTTTTGACTATATTAGCTTAATTTCGAAGATATTAGTTTTTTTTTAACACTTTTACTACAGAACGAAAGCAGAAACAAGTTTTTCTGCATATGTTAGTGTAATTACCAGCAATTTTTTCTTTAGTATTAACTTACGTGGTCGAAATGCGCTATTTATTGAGGGTATTATTCTAGTACGTCCAGAAACAATTAGTTTATTGAGGGTATTATTCTAGTACGTCCAGACACAATTAGTTTACTGTAGGCACATTAATGTGTCCCGACATGTATCGATTATTTTAGAACATTTAAAAGTACATAAAGATCTTTTGGTACGTACGTCCGTGTTAATGGATGGCTGGTAAATGTTGTGCATTAAGATTCAAAGTAGCGTTTCCTTTTAAATGGAAAAATCTAATTGTATTGATGTAATAATTAAAATTTAAAACTTTGCTTATTAATAAGAAGGTTTGATTATAAAGAATTGCCCTGAATAGATATAACGATACAATATAAAGTTGCCGAACGTTTTGATTCGTTATTCGGTACGTACCGTAAGAACTTAAGTCAAAGCGAATTGCACAACCAACTATACCTGTGTATTTGAAAGGGACGTCATAATCAAAAGCGGTGCAATTTTTTTTATTTCGTTCCTATCAAATACACAGATGTCGTTGGTTGTGCATTTTGCTTTGACTTAAGTTCTTACGATACGTACCGACTAATTAGGCCTTTTGTTACCTTTTGGTTACGTTTTATAACGTGTATTTAGTGCAAGGCAGAAGTCATTTCATTTAAATGTAATATGAAAATCAAACTTTCTAAAATTGTATTATGAATAAAGAATCATTATGTTAATTAATCATAAATTAATTAAACTTACATTATCGATTTACCAATTTAATTTGCTTTCTGTAGAAAATCCATTGGTGTCCTATTTATTGGTCTTGGATGCTGCAGTTTGCCATTTGCATGCTGTAACTTGGGCTGAAAAAGAAGGCGTCAAATCAATACGCAGCAATACAAGCAACGCTACAAGTAGTAGTAATAGCGGAAGTGCTAGTCCCAGTTTAACGATCTCAACTTCACCTACTGGAAATAATGAACCAGATATATATTCATCATCTGAATCAATAGATCAAAAAGTGGATTCCCCGCCTCCTGGTAAACCACAGGAACGTAGCCAATTAACAAAGAAATTAATTTTGCAATTGATTGAAACATACTCTATAATATCAGATACTGTTGGTAAAAAGATGGTACAACAAATGGGTGATGTGATACCAGTAAATGTGATCAATTTGGTCATACCAATCGCTAGTACGAAAAATTTATTAATTAGTGAAATAAATAATACATTTTTAAAAATGATAACAAACGCAGATAAGGAAATTGTTATAACAGAATGGACCAAATGTTTAGAAGTTTCGGACGCAGCTTTCTCTGTTCAAAATTATCCAGTGGAGGAGTATACACTAACTGTTATTGAAGCGCATATAAGCGAACTAACACGAACTTCAAATTACACCACATTAAATTCATTAAAACATTGCATAAAATCCTGTCTGAATTTAATTAATTTATTATTACCACATTGCAGTGTAGAAGGTTGTAATGAGTTAGCAGAGCGATTACAACCGATATTAGTACGGAATATGCTGGATATAAGAATGGAACATTTTCATGACATAAGTGAGAAGTGTATGCAAACCCTAACAGACATTACAGAGAACACAACTGAGGATTTCCAATTAGTAATACATGAGTACATATTTAAATATTGTTACCATTTGCAGCTAGAACTAGGAGAAGATTTACGTCATACATCAACTCCTACACGGCGAGTTGTATTTTGCGAAACAATGATGTTCGCTATACTTAAAACTATGAATCAATTAATTGAAAAACCAGTCGGTCTTAAGGCTATTTATAAATTTATTAAAATTAATAATGAAGGCAACATGGTCGATTTATTGCTATCATTTACTGGCACTTCTATGCCCATGTTATATGCTAATAACTTTTTACAATTCATTGAAAAATTATTTAAACTAGCTGAAAAGGCCGATTCGCCATTTCCTATTGATGAGTTGGTACAATGTGTTGCGAATTTGGTTAATACAGATGTAGTACGGATAAAATCATGGCTAAGTCATATAATTTTTGGTGCAAATAGTAGTCAAGGTGGTTCTGAGGCCGCGGATAAACAACTGGCATGTATGCAACCATCAAGTACTCCTTCTAGCAATGCACAAACACCAACTAATATGGCGACCGTGTCAGCAATGCCAAGTATTTCAGATCAATTAGCGCAGTCATCTGTTTTGGATGCAGATGCTATGGAAACTGACGATGATGGGGCTGTTGCTTGCATAACCAACACAAGTATCCCGGCACAAGCATTAAGTATTTGTTGGCAAAATGCAAATAGTTACGTGACTAATCATTCTGAAGTGTCAACACAAGAAGAAACTGGCGAGCGTAATGGTTCTTTACTCCTCAATGTAATTAAATACTTTGTGAGAGATGGAAAATCAACTGCAGCAGTTGCGAATGTACTGTTTCAATCATTGTTACAATTAGGACAAACTTTAATTGCACCACCACAAGAAACTTCAGATTTTGCGGATATTTTGCAAATAATGGTAACATTGGCGGATACTATGCAAGGTCGTGGTCATGCTACACTTTTTAGTGCAACCTTAATGTGGCTTGATATCACTAAGTTCCAAATTATTCAAAAGTGTTTCAATATTAAGACAACTATAAACTTGTTATCTACTATAACCCTAGATAATATATCAGCTTTGCTCAAATATTTGTTAGAATTATTACAGAGTTTGGGTTACAAAGGCAGTAGAACTATATCACCGCCTTGGGATGATGATTTTCAATTTCTTTTTGAAGATGCTAATGAAGATATTTCACCTGATGATGAAGAATCATGTGTTGATGAGTTCGATGATGATAACATAAACAACAAACTTTGTACATTTTCTCAAACTCAAAAGGAATTTATGAATCAGCATTGGTATCACTGTCATACCTGCAACATGATCAACACTGTTGGCGTTTGCTCAGTTTGTGCGAAAGTATGTCATAAAGGTCACGATGTAAGCTATGCTAAATATGGTAATTTCTTCTGTGACTGTGGTGCAAAAGAGGACGGTTCATGCCAAGCATTAAGTCGTCGTGTTTCTTCAACTGGTGCAGAAAATCGTAACCATGCTGATTTTTCACATAGCTTATCTAACAACTTAGGACTATTATCAAACAAGAAAAGATTACAAACAACGCCATCTCAATTTTCTGTGTCGAACTTATCCTCGGAACGTATAACCTTTTTAACCAAATTACTAGATTCATGTCGTGAAACGTTGCACAACAGTGAACAATGGACTGTTATTGCACGTTGCATATTAGATTTATTTGAAATTTTATTACCGGTAATGCGTGAAAATTGCGCACTCTACTCCATTGTAGGGTGTCATTTGCGCGCAAAAACAGCATTAGAACATTTACATATGCCAGATCACAGTTTTCAATTCAGTGAACATTTAATGGTTGCCACATTAGGTTCGCAAGAGGGAGCATTCGAAAATGTGCGCATGAATTATTCTGGTGATCAGGGACAAACGATAAAGCAATTACTCTCATCCGGTTTAGTACGTAGAGTAGCATTATGTTGTTTGACGTCCACACATGGACGACGGCAGCACCTTGCTGTTTCCCATGAAAAAGGCAAAGTTACAATACTACAACTATCAGCACTACTTAAACAAGCCGATCAATCAAAGCGTAAACTTACCCTTACTCAACTATCTTCTGCGCCTATTCCATGCACTGTTCTTTCATTAGCAGCTAACAGTGCTAATGAAGATTGCTTAGCAGTTTGCGGTTTAAAAGAATGCCATATAGTCACATTTTCAAATACTGGTACAACAAATGAACATATAGTATTAACTCCGCAATTAGAAAATGGTAACTTCATAAAGAAAGCTCTATGGTTACCTGGATCGCAAACAATGCTAGCATTAGTCACTGCGGACTATGTTAAAATATATGAACTAGCTGAAGATGCATATAGTCCGAAATATTATTTCCTGGTAGCAATTGGCAAAATACGTGATTGTACATTTGTATATCACAATAATGATTACTATATGCTTCTAATAGCATCTTCCGGTTATATTTATTACCAAAAATTGGACGACCAAAGTTTGGCAAAACATGGTGATTTTTACGTTACAAGTACGCTTGAACTTGCTCATCCTCAAATAAAAGATGTTAATGGACAAATTGGTGGTGGTGGAGTTTCGATTTATTATTCGCATACACTGCAACTTCTGTTTTACAGTTATCAAATGGGACGCAGTTTCGTTTCACCTTTAACGGATGTCAACAAAGGTGTTAAATGTATAACACTCTTGCAAACTGGCCAAGTCAATAAAACTTCATCAAAGGGACCACCGCAGCCATTATGTCAATGGATGGAAATAACTGGCCATCCAGGTTTAATATGCGCTATGATGCAAACCTCAAATAATCCATGCATATTTATGTTTACGCCAGATCGCATAGTTATGCAAGAAATTAAGGCGCAATCATCAAAATCTAGAATAATGGATATGGTGGCTATACGTCATCTTGTGTCTGGCGTTGAAAAGACTACTTTAATTTTACTTTGTGAGGATGGTAGCTTGCGTATATTTACGGCTAATCCTGAGTGCACTAACTTTTGGTTATCACCACAAGTACAACCAACCGGCAATCAGTTGTATGCATCAATTCGCCCGCCTCCAACTCCTAAAAAAACAAAACGCAAATCAGCCAACTCACAGAAATCAACTGCAGCAAATGGTAATCCAGTATTTCCCATTGACTTTTTTGAACACTGCACAATGCTACCTGATGTAGAATTTGGTGGTAACGATTTACTACAAATCTATAACAAACAAAAATTAAAAACTCGTTTAGGTTCAACTGGAATGTTTGTTGCGTCTACTAAACCGAATGGATTCACATTAGAAATAATGAATAATGATCCAAATACTGCCATTGTTGGGATACGTGTAATGTTAGGTTCACAGGATCCACTGCGTGCTCCACAAACTGTCAGTGTATTCGGTCGTACTATCAATACATTCTTGCGTCGTCCACGATGGTTTGATATACCATTAACAAGAGAGGAAATACTTCACTCTGACAAATTGGTGAAAGTTGTATTTGGTAAATCACAGGATGCAGAAAATATAAGTATGGTTGACAGCGTTGAAGTATATGGTAAAGCGAAAGATCTTATAGGTTGGCCAGATGAAAGCGAAGAAACTGCTGTTACAACGGCACCAATTGGTGCAACTACCACAAATACTAATACTCACAACCAAGGTACAGGAAACAGCTATGCCGAAGGTTACCATACATTAACAGCTTTAGACAAAATGATAACAAGCCTGTTGGAAGTACTTGATTGCTCCTTAAATTTATTAGGAGGTACTAACGTCGTTAATACCCTGAAGCAAAAGGCAATTAAAACTGCTACCACTATACTCATGATGCCAACCGCTTATCAAGTTCAGGTACAAACTCGCTATGTATTGGCGACATTACTTGGAAATCGCACATCGTATCATAACTATAAAGATAACGAAATGCTGGCTTACATAAATTCAGAACTGCAAAGTATAAAACATAGATTAGCTACAAAGGAAACTATAAAAGACGTTGACCCAGAAGCATTTTACCGTTTAGTACTTATTGCACGTAATATAGCAACAATGCGTCCACAGTCTTTAATGAAAATCTGTACTGAACATAAATACAATATTGTAGAAGATATAATGTACTTCATTGAAGAGTTACACCGAATTACGCCACATCCTGATGAGCCAACATCGTTGGTTAGACGAGGGTTAAGTCATGCAGAAACGACGGTGCATTGTTTGGTTGAAATTATGCATGCTTTTGCGCTTTCTGATTCTAATTTGATTGAAAATATAACTGCGCAATATATCAAACTTTTAAAGAACGATTCGAGCATTATAAGTCACAGTGCCAAAGAAGCAATAATTATGTTATTGGGGCCACGTGTGAAACGCCGTAGAGTTGCAATTATAACGCCACCAGTATGCTCAACACCTACTCCGAGCAATACGTCTAATACAATTATTTCCTCAAACATAAGATCTTTACAAGCAGCTGCAGTGCAGGAAGAAATGGGAATTGTGCCCATTATTCCTTCAGTGGAAGAGTTGATTGAACGTGAACATGAAGCTGTGGTTAATTCAGTAGCTGCTGTCGGTCGTAGTAACAGTGCTGAATTTGTAGATGCTAATGCATTAGAATCTGTACAACATGATCAACATCAACTATTAAATCTTGATCCTTTTATGGGTGGTTTTCCACAATTGCTTGGTCTACAGCAAGATGCAGATGATGAGGCTATAATAGATATTGCAATTGCTTTAAGCTTGCAGCAACATGAGGGCGATGGCTTGCAGTCACTTCAACAAGGGCTAGCCAATTTACAAGGCATCCGTAATTCAGGTAATTTACCAGGTTTAGATGGGACCAATGCTGGAGCAAATGCAGTAAGTGTCTCCGCTGGTGGATCTGATGATGAAGGCTCCAATGTTGCCACAGATGGTTCGACATTACGAACCTCACCGGCAGAGCCAGCAGGCAGTGGTGGATCAGAAAGTGGAGGAAGCGGAGTTGAAAGTATAGGCTGCACTTCTGGCCGTAGCAGCACGTATGGTGATCAGGTTAATTCGTCTCCACCTAGATCAGGTAACACGCAAGTTGATATACAAATGTCTACCAAAGCTGGAAACAATGGTGAAGCAATTGGAATGACTACGGATGATTCGAGTGTTGGTGGTGTGTCGGGGGTAGTGGGAAGTACCGAAAATGATGATGATTCTGAAGACGAGTGCTTGATTAAATTACATGATTTACGGTAGGTTTGACAAAAATAATTATATTGGAGAAAAATTAATGTTGTAAATAACTTTTCAGTCTTGACATACTTGAAAATATAATTGCCAATATTCGTACTTTAGATGTGTGTAATGGTATGAAGTGTATACCATTGATACAAGTCATACTAATGCTTACAAATGACTTAAATGGAAATAGCGAGAGAGATCAGAGAATTTTAAATGAGCTGATAACGATTTTGGTGGAATATATTGAAATGGAGAAAGGATCCCAATCAATTAAAGTAAGTTCCTTCTACCGTAAATAATTTCTTTTCTATATGAAAGTCTATTTTTAATATTTTTTTTTTTTTAGCAGCAAAGTGATAAAAACGAAGTGCGTTTGATTATATTGTGTTTGTTTGGTGTGCTTATGGGTAAATCGAAATCCAAACAAGCAGGCACAACTTCGCCGCCACATCAATTCAAAGACAATGCCACTTTTGTTGCAGGTACCACAGCAAATATCTTAAGTAATAGTGGCGCTTTTGCCTTTTCTCTTACTGTTATGGAAACACTTCTAGAACATTGGAAGCGTGCCACAGAACAAAATAGCAACAGTTCGCATAGCTCAACTGCAGGTGGTGCACCTGTTGCTGGCGCAAGTGGAAGTAGTACCACACCTCCACAAAATTGTCTACTAAAGTCATCAAAGATTGGCCCGAAACCTGATATATCGTCAATTATACCACATAATTATTTAAAGAACTATCCTGATATATTCGAGCAATATGATGCCATGCTAACGGAGATTTCTGTACGCTTACCTTATCAAATACTAAGGCTTTCTTCCACTCATCCAGGAACTTACGACTGGTACCACAGCTACTGCGAAAATATGACATATACACTCTGTGAATATATGATGCTTAATCTAAACGCTTTACTTAGACGGCAAGTACGAAAGCTATTAATGTATATTTGCGGGAATAAAGAAAAGTTCCGTATGTTCCGAGATGGCCATTCACTAGATGTTCATTTTAATCATGTAAAAAAGCTTTGTCGCTTGTCAAATACCAAGGTTAGTACTTTTTTTAAATTATACATAGAAATAATATTTACACATTACTTTTTTTATTGTAGAATGCCGTATTATCCAACCAGTCTGTACCAATATTACCATATGATTCACTTGTTGAACTTACCGAACATTTACGTACTTGTCAAGAAATAAGTCAAATAAGAACAGGAAACTGGCAAAAATTCTGCATTATTCACGACGACGTAATACCAGTATTAATAGAAATTGCATGCTTTCAACTCGATGATGGTGTGTTGCCTATTGTGTTGCAATTACTGCAAGCCGCACTCTGCAATAGTATTCAAGCTGTTAAACAACAACAGCAACAGCTGCAGCAACAACAGCAGCAACAACAACCTAGTACTTCAAAACAACGGTCCGATCGTGACAAATCTGAAGAAACAGAAGTTTCGTTTGATTCTAAATTTGATCAAGCCCATTGTAGTACATTTGTCCATCAAATATTCCGTTATGTTTCAGATAATTTACTCAACAAATTTGTTCGTATATTTTTACTAGAGACAAACATAACATCTCTACGTTGGCAAGCGCATTCATTGATTTATGCAATATATGAAAACTCAAATGAACGTCAAAAAGAGAAACTTATAAGCGTCTTATGGAACATGTGGCCATTGGTACCAGCATTTGGACGACGCACAGCACAATTCGTTGACATTTTGGGTTATTTGACATTGAGTACAAAAACAATTGTGGACAAATTACCAGAATACACGGAAAAAGCTGTAGAGGTTTTGCGTCAACAAAATGAGTTACTATACAAACATCCAAATGCTCCCATATATAGTTCATTGGAACAAATATTGCAAGTGAATGGTTTTTATTTAGAGTCGGAACCATGTCTTGTGTGTAACAATCCGGAAGTACCTATGGCTAATATTAAACTACCTTCGATTAAATCTGATTCTAAATTTACAACAACGACGATGATTGTAAAATTAGTGCAAAGTCATAACATTTCAAAACTTATTGTACGGGTTGCAGACCTTAAACGCACTAAAATGGTCAAAACTATTAACATTTACTATAACAATCGTACAGTGCAGGCAGTAGTTGAATTAAAAAATCGACCGGCAATGTGGCATAAGGCACGATCGATTACACTACAATCGGCACAAACAGAAGTAAAAATTGATTTTCCTTTACCAATAACCGCGTGCAATTTAATGATTGAGTATGCTGACTTTTATGAAACTGTTACCGGGTCAAGTGAAAACTTGCAATGTCCACGTTGCAGCGCAGCCGTACCAGCATATCCAGGAGTATGCGGAAATTGTGGTGAAAACGTTTTTCAATGTCACAAATGCCGTGCAATTAATTATGATGAGAAAGATCCATTCTTATGTCATTCGTGTGGATTCTGCAAATATGCAAAATTCGATTTTAGTATCTATGGAAGAGTTTGTTGTGCTGTAGATCCAATCGAATCAGCAGAGGATCGAGTTAAAACAGTACAGATCATACATTCCTCATTGGAACGAGCTGATCGAATTTACAGACAATTACAAACTTGTAAGCAAATGTTAGAGTTGCTTATACAAAAAATGAACGAACATCGTAGCGCCGATCGTGCACTAGATGACACTTTTGGTGCCGTACATAGTACTTCACAAGTTAACAAGCTAATACAAATGCTCGCACAAAAATATTGCGTTGAAACTCGTGGTTCCTTCGAGGAGCTTAGTAAAATTGTCCAAAAAGTTAAAGCTTGTCGTAGGTAAGTAATATGTGAAATATATAATATGATTTACGCAAAACTCAAAATTACAGTAATATTCATGAAAGAATCAATATTAACTTATAATATATAAACTACTTTAATTAAATAAATTGACTTCCAGTGAACTTGTTGCATATGATCGTAGTCAGCAAGATCAACCAAATGGGTCTTCAGGATATGATGAACGAGATACATATAATATTAATCGCTGCTATGGTTGCGCACTTGCATCTACGGAACATTGTCTAACTTTATTACGTGCTATGGCTTCTAATACTGACTGTTGTGCTGGTTTGCATGCACAGGGACTTGTTGAAGAATTGGCTCAACACAACTTGCGTCGAGGCACTCCACAAAATCAAGATGAAGTTAGAAATTTGCTTGTGCTATTAACCAAAAATAATAGAGAAGCTTGCATGAGTCTAATTGAGTTAATACAAGATCGTGTGAAGACTGCTTTACTAGGTGCTATACCAGTAGTAAATATGGATTCGGCAATTCATCATGAAATGATACTTCTTGAAGTATTAATTGGACAAGACGAGTTTTGCTGGGAAGAAAAATTAAGAGTAGTCTTTGAACTGTTTTTAATTACAAGCCAGTAAGTAATTGTAATATTTTTACTATTATAACAAAATATTATATGAAATCTTTGACCACAGACTACCACGTGGACCATCTTTAGCTGTATTACAGCCTTGTCTAAGAATCATGCAGGGCCTTATAAGTCCAACAATACCAACTAGTAAAATTAATAGAGATTTAAGTCCTTCGGAACTTTCTTCGATTTTGTGCTTAGACGCCATCACTGTTGATTTTGGCAATTGGTTAGCTGGTGATCCCGACAATTCGTATGCAGCGTGGAAATCGCGAATGCCAGCTAATATTGTGGCTAACAGAGCCCGAAGACCTGGATTTGGGTTTAATGATGATCGGCTCTTAGTTTCGATTCTACAGTCTATTGTCAGTGAGAACGCAGGGAACACCGCTATGGATATGCGAGAAATTGAAATGTTAAAGCATAAAAAATCTCTAATGCATGAAGTGTATCTAATAGAGAAATATGGTCAACGTTGGCGTCGCTCATTTCTTAGGAAAGATTATAAATATGCTCCATTGCAACTTCATGCCAGTTGGATACAACCAATTCTCTTTAATTCAAACTCAAGAATTAGTCGACAATTGGCATCATCGGTAATAACGTCATTGAGTCGTACACATGATCGTAAACGAGAAATACTCAATCTACTAACAAGTTTCTTAAAACATGTTTGTGAAGCTGGGGAAGCGAGTACTGAATTCCTTGCACTTTACCGTTCACTCGCTGCAGATAAACCATGGCGCCAATATTTGGCATTGAAAGGAGTTTTACTAGAGATTTCACGTTTACTGTCAGGTGAAATTATTAAAATCCACCGCTTGGAAGAAACAACATTATCATCGGACTTGTCGCAAGGTTTTGCGTTAAGGCAACTTGTTGAATTAATGTCACTTTTTCTAGAAAAGCCAACCATACGTCAAGCGTACAAAAGTCGTCTGTTAGGTACGGTACTTGAAGGTTATCTTTCATTACGTAAACTCATTGTACAGCGCACACGTTTGATTGATGATGCACAAGAGAAGTTGTTGGAAATGCTGGAAGAAATGACCAGCGGTACAGAGGAAGAAACCCGCGCATTTATGGAAATACTAATTGACACTGTCGAAAAGACTCGTATGAATGATATCAAAACACCCGTTTTCGTATTTGAACGGTTATATTCGATTATACATCCCGAAGAAAACGATGAAGGCGAATTCTTTATGACACTTGAAAAAGATCCACAACAAGAAGACTTCCTACAAGGGCGTATGCTGGGAAATCCTTATCCGTGTTCAGAAGTTGGGTTGGGACCATTAATGAGAGATGTCAAAAATAAAATATGTACTGATTGTGAATTGATCGCTTTACTTGAAGATGATAACGGCATGGAACTCTTAGTCAATAATAAAATAATTAGTCTCGATTTGCCTGTTAAAGAGGTATACAAGAAAATATGGATTGCTGAAGGAGGAGATCGCGATGCTATGCGCATTGTGTATCGAATGCGGGGTTTACTTGGTGATGCAACTGAAGAATTTGTTGAAACACTGAATAATAAGAGTCAAGAAGAAGTAGATACCGAACAACTTTATCGTATGGCTAATGTACTAGCTGATTGTAATGGTCTTAAGGTTATGTTAGATCGAATAGGTAGTTTACAAAGTATATCACGCACGAGAGAACTTATACAAGTATTGTTAAAACTGTTCCTTATATGCGTAAAGGTACGCCGTTGTCAGGATATGTTATGCCAACCTGAACTTGGAGCTATTAATACATTACTTAAAGTACTTCAGATGTGCTTACAATCAGAAAATGATTCCTTACAATCGTCAGTTACTGAACAATTATTAGACATAATGGAAACAATATTGTCGAAAGCATCTAGTGATACTTTAGATTCGTTTTTGCAATTTTCACTTACATTTGGTGGTCCTGAATATGTAACTGCTCTTATTAACTGTACTGATTGTACGAACGTACGCAACAATCCTTCCGTTTTACGCCATTTGATTCGTGTCTTGGCAGCACTTGTCTACGGTAATGAGGTGAAAATGGCGCTTTTATGTGAACATTTTAAAGTACGATTAAAAAAACGAAATAATGACGATTATTTTTATTTAATTGCATTTTGTCTTTTTATTTATTTCTTTATAGGACATCTTAGATTTTGAGCGGCTAGATGTCGACCGTACGCCAGCAATGGATTTTAAATTGGAACTGTTTTGTGTATTGGCCAATCAAATTGAACATAATTGCATTGGTGGCACACTCAAGGATTATATTGTCAGTTTGGGTATTGTGGAAAATGCAATCAGTTATATTACATACCATGCTCCTTGCGTTAAACCTACTTTGTTGCGCATTGATTCTGACGAATTGAAAGAATTTATTTCACGTCCAAGTTTAAAATATATATTGCGCTTTCTTACTGGTCTAGCAACAAGACATGAAGCTACACAACTTGCCATTAGTAAGGACATAATACCAATAATCCATCGCTTAGAGCAAGTTTCTAGTGATGAACACGTTGGGAGCTTAGCTGAAAATCTGTTAGAAGCCCTATGCACAGATGCTGCCACGGCAGCCAGAGTTCAAGAAGTACGCGATTTTACTAGAGCTGAAAAAAAACGATTGGCTATGGCAACACGTGAACGGCAGTTAGATGCGCTTGGTATGCGTACTAATGAAAAGGGTCAAGTAACAGCAAAAGGTTCGATTCTACAAAAGATTGAAAAACTACGTGACGAAACTGGTCTCACATGTTTTATATGCCGCGAAGGCTATGCGTGTCAACCCACTAAAGTACTTGGAATTTATACATTTACCAAACGTTGCAATGTTGAGGAATTTGATATGAAACCAAGAAAAAGCATTGGCTATACCACCGTTACACATTTTAATGTAGTGCATGTTGATTGTCACACTTCAGCCATACGTTTATCACGTGGCCGTGACGAATGGGAACGCGCTAGTTTACAAAATGCTAATACTCGCTGTAATAGTTTGCTTCCATTATGGGGTCCAGAAGTTACAGAATCCACATTTTCAGCGTGCATGACACGACATACTAGTTACATGCAAGAAGCCACCCAACGTTGTGACATTAGTTATACCAATAGTGTACATGACTTGAAGTTACTGCTTATGAGATTTGCGTGGGAACGTAGTTTCCATGACGATGCTGGTGGTGGTGGACCACAGTCAAATATGCACTTTGTTCCTTATTTGTTATTTTACTCAGTTTACCTTCTATTATCATCACGTTCCGCTGCACGCGATAGTAAGGCACTAACTACTTACGTAAATAATCCGCCTTGTGATAAGTGGCTGGAGTGTGCTTATGAGGCAGAAGGTCCAGTCTATATGACAACTATTTCGTTAACATTACATAGTCGAGATATGTGGAATAAAAACAAAATTATGCACTTAAAACGTTTAATTGTAGTTGCTCAGACCCGCTTTGTATCACCATCGCTCGTATGCAAAGCATTGTTGACAACAAGCGATCGCGAATTTAAGCACTATACCTTATATCGACCTTATCTGATGCTTTGGGCACTTGTAGATTTAATATACAATAATCTCTTTAAAACTGTAACAACGCCAAAAGAAGAGGATTGGTGCATTTCTTTATTCGATTTTATACGCAAAAACGATGAAGCTATGCTCAACACAACAGACAGCATTCTACAGACATTCACTGAAGAGATTTTGCCATGCACTACCTTCTATGAATTTTGTGATGTAGTTGGTACGTATACGTATTGTGTGCTCATGTCCTTTTTTTTAATTATTACAATTTTAATATATATGGATTGTTTTCTTTTAATTTTAGGTCTCCTGCATATTATAGAGAATCCTGATATATTTATTGATGATGTTTTACAATCGCTTCCCTCTACATCTGCTTAAGTGTCTATTTTTAATTTAGTACCGTTTGAAACAACGTTTTAAATAATTTATTTAGCTCTGAATATAAACAAAACTTAAATATATTATGTACGGTTATTCAAATATTACTAAAAATTTAATGAAATGTTTATTATATAATTATTTACTATTCTTACACATTTAATAAAATAATTTATTGTTCACTAATTTAAATTAATAAAATTGTATATTTGTTATATTACAAATAAAAACTTAGTTTGTGGCTTGCTTCACTATCACAACGTAGCACAAACGACCAATATTTTTTATTGGATCAAAAGTTTCTGAAGCCGATGTTTCAGATAGCTCTAACAATAGCAATAACTTAGTACTCTGTTTGCAGACTAATAAGCATACGAACAGTAACTTTGTCTAAAAAATCGTTCATTATTTTTCTATAAATTTAGGACACAAGATTCTAATAACACCGCAGTCAATTAGTCTATACAATTCGCAAATTGCAGCCCAGCAAAGAGAGATCTTATGATTCTTAATATCAAATAACGAAGAATGGCAATTTATTGCAATCTTTTATTCTACTATACAGGAATCAATTGCCTTGACTATCTGCAAAGATAGCAATATTCAATGGTTAAATTGTATTACTTGGAACGCTTTTTTAATTGCGTATATCTCAGTCTAATAAATGATACAAGTATCAGGTAGTCCGCAAGATGGTCTCATCTGCTTATCTTTCAAGTAGATATACACTCCGTTCGTGTAACCATCTTTAAGCTATCCATATAGATGGTAAAACCAGAGTTTCCTGTTGCAGATTCCGAACCCAGCTTTCCCTGGTTATATAAAGAATACAAATTTCCACACCCTACACTCCTATAGTCTAAGATTACCTCTGATTGTCATATGAGTGATTCCGGTATATGGAGTCAGAAACCTCTGTAAGACTGACTAGGGGATTATAAATTTATTGCCGGTACTAGTTTACAATTTTCGCTACCTCTGAATTAATTATGATTATGATTACCGGACCGCTTAAAACTTTTTACTTTCGACCCATCGCTAAATTTTATGCCTATGGGTATGTTGCAGTTTAATAAACGCCTAGAAAATAATAGTAATGATTGACGAACACATCCTTCAACAAGTACATCATTTTATTGGGTTATTATTAACAGCTTAATTCCGTATTAGTAATAAATGTGCATTTTAATTATTATAGATAATAAAAAACTAAAATTTTTAGGTTACATTTTAATCAAAATCAATCAATATATTAATAATAAAAATACAATGTTTATTTTAATTACACATTTTTTTTTTTATTTCACCTGCGCTAACAAATAATATTATATTTTTTCCAGAGTTCGGAATGTGGCGCACAAAATCGCACACTGCACTGTGCGAGTTAAAATTATTTTTAAAATATGCACACGCACATTTGTGGTGTTAAGAAAAATAATGCACGCACAGAAATGTGCGGATGATTGTACACACACATTGCTGTGCGGCTGACTTATAAAAATGTGCACAACCATATGTGCGAGAGAATTTTATGCTCACACCGCACTGTGCGAAACAAAATTATCTGAGCACACGAGTGTTCTTTTCTAATTTACGATTGCACACAAATGTGCGTTACTCATTACTCCCGTATTCACGTGTAATGAAAAGTGCACATAGATTGTCAAACCTACGCATCTGCCGTGCTTACCGTACAGTATCGGACGCATGCCAATAGACCTATAGAGACAGTTTCTTACAGCGCTCTCGTCGGCGAACGATTGAAACTGGGCAATCTCTGGCAGAGTCTTATCTAGATATAAGAGACAAATACCTTAATGAATGGCAACATAGGTGGGACCATTCCCAAAAATCAAGATGGACGCATTCGTTAATTCCAAATATAAGAGTTTGGATTAACCGAGGATCTGGAGACTTGGGATTTCAATTAACACAGTTTCTTACGGGGCATGGCTACTTCCGTGAATACTTATACCGGTTTAGGCTAGCAAGTAACCCGTACTGCCAGTCTTGTCCAGATAAAATTGAGAGTCCTGACCACATAATTAGAGACTGTATAAGATTCGTAGATACTAGACAAAATCTAGAGACACTAATTGGGGAATCCAGTCCTTCTACTATGGTAATGCAGATGTTGGCAAGCATCGAAGAATGGAGCTTTTACAAGAGCATAATCTCTAGGACAATAAATACTGTTAGAGCGGACGAAATACTTAGTACACAATCGGAGTGAATGCACGCTAAGTGCTCTTCTAACCTGCCCTGTGAAGGAATACCTTAACTGGTCGTACTGCAGGGATTTTCAGGATTTTGAGTTGAGAATGTAGGGGACTTTTTAGTCCATAGGCATGTATGACTCAATTTGAGTCGTGCATGAATTTGTATCTTTTGAAGATATTTCCCCCAGGTCCGATACCAAAAAAAAAAAAAAAAGAATTTTGCGCTTGCACCTAAGGGTTTACACACTTACATGAATTTCACAATTTTGTTTGAAATAGTAAATAGTAGGACACAAAATTTTTAAATACAAAGCATTTAGTTTCCATAGAAATATATGAATGAATACTAATAATAGATTAGGTAAAATACTATTAAGTGATACTCTTAAATAAAAAACAAACAAACTAAGCCTCATTCGTGTTAATCACTTACACCTTAAAGGACAAAAGCAATACTCTATAGTGTTTATTTTAATTTTTAAGTGATGATTAAGTGACAGGGACCGAAAATAACAGTTATTTTAAAATTTTTTATGAAAAAAAGCAGCAACAAAAAGTTGTCTAAACTCTTATTTAAGTAAATAGTTATCATTCTAATAACTTTTATCCTTAATATTATGCATGCTTTTTATATATGAGCTTTTTAAAATAAAACTCAAAAAATAATAATTAAATTTGATTTTTATTATATTCATCAAAAATAATAATTATTATATGCCTTTTATTTTTTTCGCGCAGAAATAACTCTTAAAATTTGCTTCTTATTTTAAAACGCACAAATAACTGGTACACTTGCGTTATATAATATAAAAAGCAAGAGTATCGCGCAAATTCTGCGCGATATTTTTAAAATGAAAATATAAAATGCAATTTTCATACAAGGTAGTTGTTTTTGCAATTCCATAGAAAATGTTTGAAAAGGTTGGTGCAGGTAAAGATTTAGTTCAGTTTTTTGTTTTTGTATTTTGGATTCATATTTTGTATTTAACTTTGTATTTTGTAGGAGAACAAATTTGTATGCAAAATACAAAAACAAAAAACTAAACTAAATCTTTACCTGCACCAACCTTTTCAAACATTTTCTACGGAATTGCAAAAACAACTACCTTGTATGAAAATTGCATTTTATATTTTCATTTTAAAAATATCGCGCACAATTTGCGCGATACTCTTGCTTTTTATATTATATAACGCAAGTATACCAGTTATTTGTGCGTTTTAAAATAAGAAGCAAATTTTAAGAGTTATTTCTGCGCGAAAAAAATAAAAGGCATATAATAATTATTATTTTTGATGAATATAATAAAAATCAAATTTAATTATTATTTTTTGAGTTTTATTTTAAAATGCATATGATAACAGTTATAAGATGGTTTTTATTTTTTTTATGATAACTGTTACGGTCCCTGTTAAGTGATAAATAAAATTTTATGAAGTAGTCCATATTTAGTGACATATTTAATATTTTCAAAGTAAGATCCGTAGAACCGATCCTCTTTACTTATAACATTTTGAAACAAATACTCTTTCTTTATTAAATTCATGTACCTATTGAACTCATATATCATAAACTATTTATATTTTATATGATAACAAAGTCTTCAACTACATTGTGAAATTAACTTTATTCCAATGTTTTTTATGTTTAATGTTTTATATATTAATAAACATTAAAATAATAAGTAATATAAGCAATAAATGTAAATCTAATAATAAATTCAAAATTAAAATATAAATACAAAATCATTTCTTCAATAAAATATTTCGCATTAAGATTAAAATTTATACAAATCAGTTTTCCTATTTTGCTGCGATATTCGCCATAATATTGTACGCTTTTAAATCAGCATTTCACACAAATGTGCAGTAGACATTTCGTCTCCGCACATTTGGGTGCATTTTTATTTTCGAGTCTGCACACAAAATGTGCTCCTCGTATTCTTTTCTGCACACGTTGTGTGCGAGGGCAAGCTGGCTGCCTCACACACAATGTGCTGTGCAAAATAACTTCAGCAGAAACACCGAATGCGTGTGCGAGTTTTATTTCACTTCACCACATTCGTGTGAAATGTATATTTTATTTGTGCACACAAGACGTGCATTTTTCTTTGTAAATAAAATTTTTGCACACCACATTTGTGGTGTAATATTTTATTAAGATGCACACAACATTTGTGCGTGGTGCCCTGCATTTTTGTGCACAGCACAGTGTTTTTCTGAACCCTGATTTTTTTACAATAGATGCCAAAAAATATTAATTATTAAAGCGCATTAATTATTTAAAAAATTTATTTTGCATTCTTCAGTGATGCCCGGAATATCACATTTTTCATAAAAATAATGCGTAATAAATCTTAAAAAAGCAGCCAACTTATTTATTTTTGAAACTGCTTATCTTCTTGAACCGCTTTGCAAGTGACCGTAAATTTCGTGCAACACTTCTAGAAACGCTTCCTTGCTCAAGTGACAGTTAGTAATAAATCTTTTAAATAAAAACCAGAAATATATATTAATCATAATTTGATATATATCACTTTTGCATTTACGTTTGTGTATCAGTATCAGTGAATTTGCAGCATCTCGAAATTTACGACTGTATCAACGATGATTTGTATTTTAATTCGAAATATTTATTATTGACATTTTTCTTATTTTTTATATAAATTTAAAGTTTTTATTAGTGCTGCAAGAAAGCCAAACTTTCTTATAATGATAAAGAAGAAAATATAGAGGGTTTTTGAATAACAAACAAAGAAAGGACAAACACAAAAATTTATTTAAGTTTATTGAAAATTTGGCTGACTACACAAAGCTGTTTTGAGTGTTGCCAAGTATTTATCATCAGTGATGATGATTAATACTGATTTATATATTTTTTTATAAAGAATTTGAACTCAATTTAAATGTTTCTTAGCGAATATCATTCACAATAGTGCACATGTTTGTCTAACAAGATTCATTACACCAAATTTATTTATCAATCGACTCTGTAGACAAATGTCTATTGTCTATCGGTAGACATTTCATAATAGCCACTTATGTGTTAGATGTATTATAATTTAAAATTAAAAATAGAGCGTTGGCAGCCCTACTTTACAACAAAACAAAACAATTTGACATTTCTAATTTTATCTATGCTCTTGTCTTTATTCTTGAGTTTATTGTTTTGTTTAGTTGGGTGATTAATTGAATATAAGTATTATAAATCCTAAGCACCAGAAAAATATTTAAGTTCAAAATCACTTTCACAATAAATTTCATTCAGGTGTAAAAAACATCAAAAGCACATAAGATGATTCCAAAAAAAATGCCCGTGAAGGATGCTTATATAGTGAAAATCGCAGTAGAGTTTGAAAATCATATAGCGCAATTAATCAATTTGGATCAGCGACAGCCATTAACAGGTAAATTATGTTAAATATTAAAATTTAATAAAAGCGTTTTAATTATGTTAATAAAAATCAGTTGATTTTTATACCAACTTTAAAAAAAAACTTACTTTGGTGCAACCAATGCCAACGCCCATTCATTGAGTCTGTTGAAACTTATTAAAATGCACTGCAAATAACAGGAAGTGAATACCATGTATTCAATGTCTTTGATTCAAGTTAAAATGTTTTCAATTTATTCATTTAAATTTCTTAAATTTTTTTAATGAATTATATAGAAATGGTAATAATAATGTTGTTGTTGTTGTTGTTGTTGTAAAAAAAAAATCGTATGTATTTGAGCCATGGTACCAGACATGGTCGCTCCTGGAATCATAATAGTTGTCGATATTATTGATGTTTTAATAGTGGTAATTAAGCTGTGTAAATCCCTCGAATATCGATTCTTAATCAAAGCCTTTGTTGAATAGTTGGAAGTAATGAGCGGTAGTCGATATTAACATATGATCACAGGACATATATTTAGCCGATCTTAGAAATAAAATGCACATATGGACATTTGTAATGTATACAACGTTAGCATAAAAACCAAATAAAGTAACAAAAATAAGAAGTTCTCGTGCCTTCAAGAACGGCCGGATTTACGTCCCGGTGCCACTCGTCGAGTTCAATGATTAAATATAGTTAATATAGTTCCAAAAGGAACTATACAAGTAGATCCTTGCGGGTCACATTAACAACAACAACAGATCTCGTGATCTCATCTTAATAAAAATATGTTTTTAATTATTTTTTTATGTGAAATAGAGTCAATTTTTCAATGCTACTTTGAACTTTTTATTTATCTATATAACAAATTTTCTATTGATATTGTAATTTTTATTTTTTTTTTTTTGTAAAATATTTAATTCTTTTGTAATTTTTATAATTATATTGTGTAAAAATGCAATGTAATTATAATTTATTTTATAGGTAAAATACAGGAAATCTGCAGCTGTTGGGGTATAGTTGATCCAGAAAATTATGCACTTCAATTTTGCGAACAAAATAATATTAAGTATGTTACGGAAAAAAATCGTAATGAAATTAAAAACGGTTCAGTTTTACGCTTACAATACTCACCATCCAAAACAGCAAACGATACCCTAGAAACTTTACGGTCCGGTTCAACATTTGAAAAAATTAAATGCCTTAAAGAGCTCGCCTCACTTAGTGTTGATTTAACATTTGCATTAGAATTTATAAAGGAACAAGGTCTCAGCATTATCATAAATATGATAGAAGATACAAATCAAAAAGATGATGAAATACTTAAATATAGTTTAGCTAGTTTCGTAGAACTAATGGAACATGGCACTGTTTCGTGGGAAATCCTACAAAATTCTTTCGTACAACGTAATATAGATATTGTGTGTTGCTTTCAGAACTTTCCTAAAGAATGCACGGAAAGCGCTCTCTCAAATTTAGAGAATATAGTACAAAATAGTACTAAACATAAATTAGTTGAAAATAATGTAACATTGCAAGATTTGCTGCGCTTATTGCAAGATGCGAACTCACCAGTGATACAACAAAACGCCATAGCGGTGATAAATGCACTTTTTATGAAAGCTGATGAAGAACGTAGACGTCATATTGCACGAACAATAAGCGCAAAACAGTATCGTTTAGCTTTGATTAGTAATGTATCTGGAACTGAAATGACTCATCAATTGTATGTTTTACAAACATTAACCTTGGGTTTGCTAGAACAACGTATGCGCATGAAAATGAACGTACAAGATCAGGAAGCACATGAAAAGATAAAAGAACTACGACGTACCGCATTCGATGATTATTCTGGTGGTACTGGCATATCCGATGAGCAATTGAGGCGAGGTGGAGGCTCAGGTGGCGGCAATGTCAACTATTCGCAATTTTACAAAAAGCTTGGATTCAAATGCGATATTAATCCTGCGCAGGATTTTATAGAAACTCCACCTGGTGAGTATACAATTTCAATCATTTTAATATAAATAAAATTTCACTACAGTTTCAAAACCTTACTTAAAGACTAATTTAGTTTTATTTTTATTATAATAGGTATTTTGGCTTTAGACTGTATGGTTTATTTTTCGCGTAACTATCCACAACAATACACGAAAGTCGTACACGAAAATTCTCATCGTGCGGACGAACATGAGTGTCCTTTCGGTCGTACTTCTATTGAATTAGTCAAATTATTATGCGACATTTTGCGGATCGGTGAACCACCGTCTGAGCAATCTGTAGACTTTCAGCCAATGTTTTTCACACACGATCATCCTTTCGAGGAATTTTTCTGTATTTGCATTATAACATTGAATCGCACTTGGAAGGATATGCGTGCCACAGCGGAAGATTTTCAAAAAGTATTTAGTGTTGTACGCGAACAAATTACACGCACCCTCAAAGCACGTCCAGAGAATTTGGAAGATTTTCGCGCAAAAATTGCATTGCTTACATACCAAACAATAACAAATTTAAGACAACAAGAACGCACCTCGAAAGAAGAATGTGATTCCACCGCTTCGGCAATTGTTAAATTAAAAGAAAAAATATCGCCACATATAACAGATCTGATTAAACATCAGCGCTTATGGTTTTTAGTTGAAGGTAATATATTTATACGCACACTAAGATACATAATTAAAAAATTTAATTGAAAAAAAAAAACAAAAAATTTCAAAAAACGTGTAATATCCTACAAATTGAAAACAAATGAACATTTACGAATAATATTACTATAGTGGTTAGTGAAAATAAACAATAAAATTTTAATATCATAGTAGATCTACTTATGGAAGAGGTAATAAAACTCTGTAAAATAGATTCTATACTGCCTTTTATTGACGCGACAGGGTTTAGAGACCTATTCTAAACTTAGAAGGGGGCACAATAGACCCGATGGTCGCAGTGCCACATCCCCTAACAATAATAATAATAATAATAGATTTGCTTATAGTCTAAAATTAATAGTTGAAAATTAATAATAGATAGTAATAAATCTATTTTATTTTACTAGGCGTTAGTGAGCATCGTCTTCCTTAAGAGATGCTGCAATTGCTTTGTATATTAATATAAAATAGTTATATTCTAATATATATTAGAAATATTATAAAAATATAAAACCATAAAAAATTATAAAAAATAAAACACATGATTTGATTTGTAGGTACACGTTTTTCAAAATATTCTCGTGGTGCACGTTCAAAAGATAAATTTTGGTATGCACGATTATCGCCAAACCACAAGGTTATACACTACGGTGATTGTGATGAGAAAACAATACCAACTTTAGAAGAATTAACCAATAAAGTGCTTGTAATCGATATAAAACAACTGCTGGAGGGCAAGGAATGTCCACATATGAAAGAGATGCGCACACGAAAGTCGGCAGTTAATTTAGCATTCTCAATAACATTCGATAGCATGGATCATGCCACTTTAGATTTCGTCGCACCTGACGAAACTGTTTTTAACTATTGGACAGACGGTATAAATGCTTTATTGGGCCAAGAGATGGTCAGCAAACAGAAAAAAGATGATTTCGATACATTACTGTCGATGGAAATAAAATTACGCCTACTTGATACTGAAGGTGTTGACATTAGTAAGGATCCACCACCCATACCAGAGGATCCTGAAAATTATGACTTTTGTTATGAAAGTTGAAATGATTAAAATTTAAGGTAAAAACTATAAAATCAAAAATATATTTAAGTCTGGCACAACGAGCTGCAAATGGAAAATTCTGAAACGGTTCTTCGCAAACAAAAAAAATTTAAATATTATAATTATGTAAAAATGATCATTTTATACAATTAATCAAAGCGAAAAAATTTTTATAAAAATGTTTTTGTAAGCAAACATACCAAAGTTCATGTAATGCAATAAGTTATATGTGGCAAATATTTTTACAAATATTAAATATATTCAATATTAATTTTTTATATATTTATTAATGATAGCATAGTCATATATGTATGTATTGAGGCAAACTTAAACACTTAACTTATGCACTGAATATATAAATGAAGTTCATTTCCTCTTACGTTACACAATACAACGTTTTTAATACTCGTTCTATATAATTATTGAACTTTTTGAAATTTTATTAAAAAACAACTGGAGAATACTAAAGTAACCCCTTTCAATCTACAGTAAATAGAAAAGTTATCGATAACTAATATTTACTATTTAATATATATTTTAAAAATTTATTCATTCTATATAATTTTGAGCTTTAAATATTTTTATACGGGCTAATTTGTCAATGTTAAATAATATACAATTTTTAAAAATGTTTCAAAATATTTCAATTATAATGGATTATAAACTAAACTGTAGTAAAATATCATAAACTACTAATATACTATTTCTAAAACAAATTAATTAAAAATTGTATATTTTTGACATTGATCAATATGTATTAGTCCGTACAAAAATATATAAATAAAATGTGGTCGTTATAACAATAAGTTAATAATAATAATTATTAATAATAAGGTATAATAAGTTAATATTAAAAATAATACCAAAGTAACAACTTTAAAATCTATTGTTAAATAAAAAGTTATCGATAACTAACATTTTCTATTTATTAATAATTCAATAGTTTTACATCACTTTGGAATTTTTCAAAACTTTATATTAAAACTTCAGCAAAATATTGAGATCAGAACTGTTAAATCCGCCAGAATTTGTAGAATTATAGATAACTAGAAAATACTAGTTATTTATTAATAATTAATCTATTTATTAATAATTTAATCGTTTTATATAATTCTTGCACTTTGTAAGATTTTATTTAAGACCAACTGCAAATTGAAAATATATCAATAACTGATATTTTTTTTTTTGGTTTGGGTTTTACAAAAGATCTATTGCGGTCGCAATGCTTAGCAGGTTCCTTTCGATCGTCTCTATGTGACAATTGTTTATTAACACGTAAAATATAATTGGCTACTATGCAATATAATTTAAAGACACTACATAACTTAATTCTATCAGTGCAAATGAAATTATTATCCTGTAGTCTAACTAAATTATAATAGTATAATATTGTTTTTAAATAATACTCTATACTTATTGTTAGAACTTAATTAAAAAAAAGTCTCATATATCTTTTAACATCGTTACAATCATTGACACCATCATTGACAAAACAGTACGAATGATGGATTTGCCTTCATTACAATCACTAAATAGTGGTATCCAGCAATATATACAAAGCTCTGTAGTATTCCGATCAGTCCCATCTCTCCACATTAGCATTGGCTGTCTGCTACGCACTGTTATCTTATGATACATTTGGAAGTGTAGTTTTTGTCTACTTTCTTGTTGTTGTTGTAGTCCGCTGGGACCTGCTTGTGAAGTCCTTTTGGAGGTGTCAAACGGCATTTTGTTGTCACTGGCGACGAGTGGCTCCAGGATATAAACCCGGCCGTTCTACTTTCTTCGTTTGTTTTAATAATTGTAAACATTTTAAAATATAGTACTTATATAGCCATTTTACTTCGGGTTTATGTTATATTGCCATCATATACTATTACCGTGCATTGATTTAAAAACTCTATCGAACACTTTCTATTCAAAGATTTATATTTTATTTTCATTTGATTTTCTGACCATTCAAATAAATAGTAATTATTGCATTTTGATACATGATTTTGTTCGATGTATTTTCATTGTCCATTGTAGTAATTATTTCCATTGTAGTCGAATTTGATATTTAAATTAAGTGTTCAAATACTGTAAATTGATGTTTGTAAACATGAGATTTTGCCAAAATCTTCTATGTATGATATTTTGCTAGCATAAAATTTTGACATCGTATAAAATTCATGTCAAAATTTATATTTTATGTTCATTTATTTGCAATATACTATGCTAAAATACTAATTTAAAAAGCAATATATACAATAGATATATTGTACATTTTTATAATATAGTTCACAATTCATATTTAGCTTTGATTTGCTGATAAACTACTGATTATAATATTTAAAGTTACCGAAGTTTGTTAATGCTTATGAAGTCTTTGGACGATACATATTAGATGGTAACTAGATTTTTATAGTTTCTCATGTTGGTTATCATAAAATTAATCAGTTTCTCTATGATCTCAAGCTCACTATACGCACTTATTGTAGAAAATCTCTCTGTTATCGTAATTAAAATATGAAATATGAAATATGAAATTATTGTCTCATGTTTTTTTATATTCGGCGAAATATCAATATTTATTTGAATGCAACATAGAAAGCTTTATAGTGAATTTTGTCAGTGCTATGAAACATATTACAGTCATTTTAATAAAAAATAATGACTTTAATAAAATCATAAAATCATAAATAGTGTAACCAGTATTCAATTTATCAACGTTTCGTTGAACGTAAAACGTCTAAAGCTTCATGTTTAATATATGCAGATAATCTGATCTTTACGGTCAGGTTAACGCTATAAGTTCAAAAAATGTTAACGCATATTTTCAAACTCATTACTAACTTCACACAAAAATAATAAACATTATTTATAATAATAGCAATAGCTATTTTTGCTTTAGATTATAAGATATACTATACTCTTTGTATACGTACGGGAACTGCCCAATACATACATATATAATATATATATTTTATGGTCGTGTATTTATTATAATTTTATTTACAGATTGTCAACGTGCAATTTATAAACGAACAAAATTAAAAATAAAACTAATTTTTTTTGCATTACCTTAAGAAGCAAATTTATTAAAACTTTTAATTATTTTATTCTTGGTAATAAAAAATTTATAATAAAAATACTTTAAAATGCCTTGTTTATTTATTAACAATTAATTAAGATGACTATATACAAGAATAAATGATCATAAATGAGTTGTAATTTAATAAATCAACATTACTTTAAGCCAATCGTTTTGTCGACTATTAACTTCCGTTATTCGTATAATGTAACGAGTATGTGTCAACTCTCATTTAAGCGTATATAAATAACTAGAATTTTTCATTATTAATATTATCAAACTTATTTAGTGAGTTTATTTGATTTCCAATAAATAGTTTATTAGTCAGAAATTCAGAAATTGCTTTTTTTTAATTAAAAAAGGTAAAAGGTTCAAGTATGGCATAAACTTGCTGAATTTTCAAATAAAAATACATAGTAAGATTTTTCTAGTAAAAAAACTTGGTGCCAATGTTCTAAATTAAAAATGAACGAGTAAGTTTAACAAATATTCGCTGAATTGAATAAGATAATTGAATTACTTATTATGTTTATATACATATCTATTTTGTTCTAATCTAGTTTTGTAATATATTCTATTACCAGATTTTTGGTTTTGATGAATACTATATGACAAGTATTACAAATGAGCTATTATATCGATTTATGTGACAGTTAAACAACACTCGCTGTGTTTTTATAAATGAATCAATTATACAATTGTAAACGTTTGTGCAGATAATTTTTGTGAAACTTTTCTGAACCTAAGTTAAGCTTAATTTATGTGCAAAGTGACAATTTTAATATATCATTTAAGCACACTAATGAATTGTGTTGAAAAATAGTTCGTACATTATTTTTCTATTAAATAAAAAATTTTCTCCACAAATTATAATTAATTATTTAATATTTATGAAGGTGAAAATAATATTACAAAATATTACAAAATTTTAATTTAAGTGCTTATTATTAGTGTTGGAGGAAAAAGTTGATCCTTATTATTATGTTAACACCATAAACTAGATTTAAGTAACCAATATTTGTAATGTGCCTTGTCTAGGTTTATTTAGGAAATGCTTTCGCTGAAATTATATATCCTAATACAGAATTCAAACTATGTTCTTTTATATATAAAAGAACTAATTCTAAACACAAAATAATTAATTTTGTATACAATATATAATATATTCTATAATAATTTTATAATATATTCTTAATCATATAAATGCTATGAAAAATAATTTATGTTTGAACGAGGTTTTAAATTATGCTGCTAGACTATATGAAGTAAATCTGGAATTTAACAAGATGAGAGCTTTAATATTAATGATTATATTAAATCATTTTCAAACTTACAGTGTAAAAGTAGTATTAGTTTTAAGTATATACGACATATCAATATCTTAGAATGGCAAGAACATAATTAGTTAATTTAATTAAGTATAAAATGATAAGAAATTACATTTTATTGAAAACAACAATATATACATATATTACAAAATGAATCTTATTTTATAATTTATTATTTAAATAATTATAATATAGAATCTAGTCACGTTTTTGTATTCTAGCAAAAATAACAAAAATAACTTATTTTTTACCAATCGAGAAAGTTATCACTTAGTATGTACACTTAAACGACTTTTTCATCTCTATAAATATTTAAAAAAAAGTAGAAACGTAAAAGAAAAAAATGAGAAAATTTTTATACAGTAGAAAGACTTTATTAAGTAGTAAAGCAAGTTGGGAGAGAACAGGCTCTATCTATGTAAAATAGTATTTAGTGCAATATTAGTAATATTAGTTTTTTAATAATTTATATTATACTTTACTTTTAATAACAAATGTGCCATAAGAAAAACTGTTGCGTTTTATGTTTTTTTTTTTTTGTTTTTTTTAGTAACATTTGTGTATTAGTATAGTTTTTTTTTATAAGATTTGTTAATTTTATTAAGTTTATTGCCACAATTGATATATTCAAATATATATTGTTAATCAACTTAATAAGTTTGGTTCAATTTATCTTATGAAATGTAACGAGTAGATGTAAATTTTAAACACTATATAAAAATTAATCTAAATTAGTTCCCATATCACATCGAGCAATTGTCCTTAATTTATAAAATTTTAACTTTAATAATATAAGAAATCTCTTTGAAATATATTTCATTGCTTTGTTTTTTATATGTGTTCCAACAG